TTTGGTTACGTGCCTCCGGGTTAGCACCAAACTCAACTAAATTAGCCTACGAAATCCAGGACATCTGAAGTCTTTATATCAGTGAAACTTATGACCATCCACTCAATCCCCACATCCCAACTCAGAAGGAGTCTCATTAATAATAGGAGACAACACCACCCCTCTTCTGCAGCCAGTTATACAGCTCTGATGAGCTCTCCACAATAAATCACTTAGGATGTGACTTTATCGAAAAGGTGTTGGATGGGATTGATCAAGGTATATTGCAATTCGCAGTGTTGAAAGAGTTGCCAAATCGCTTCATACTAACCTGTGTCATAGGTTTGTTCAAGGTCAATGAAGTTGAGGAAGGGAATTTGCTGCTTTATTACCCTCCGCTCAAAGATGATGCTCAATTTTTCAATTGTTTCTTAACATGAATTGGTTTTAAGTTCAGCCTTTTACATTATAATTTTTAGTAATAATAGAAATTTGCCACATTCTAAAACAGTACCAAAGAAAAAATATGGAATTTTTTTAGCGTTTGGTAAAATATCGCTTCCAGTTTTATCGAATAACATTCAAAACGATCATAAAAGATAATACTACAGGATTTCAAATGGCAGTTATCTGTTAGTATTAGTAGTGACAATAAGACCGAAATTATCCCACATGATCAAGGTAATCGGAAGAGTTATGCACCTGAAGGTCACTTTTGTCTATTTTGGTCGGCCATTTTGGTTTGACCTTCCTTAGCTGTTCGCTAACCCATTGGCTTTTACGTTTATCCTGCAGTTACACACAGCTTGACTTGATGGATATTGTTTAGAAATTTTGCGTTTCACCTCATTTTTGTTTCCGTTGCTGTTAAAATTAGTTATTTCGTTGGTTTCGAAGGATTTTCTTACCAGGCCAGTGCATTCATTTCTTTGTAATTTTTTCATACGTTGCATTCACGCTTGGTTTCAGTGTTTGAGTTATTTCTCAGCTGTTTTGAAATAATACTGTGTAGAAATTTAGGAAAATATGCAAGTGCACTTGTTTCGGTGGCAGAAGCTGTTATTTCTAGTTCATTTGTTGGTTGTCGCTATTGTTGCTGGCTCAATTGTTTACTTAATATGTAGGAATCTGGGAATAACAATGTCATGCATATTCATGTTTACAGCATGCAACAATCTACGAGTGAATCTGGTGATGAGAGTTGATATTAGCAAGGTTTTCGAAGAGTATGTTTACGAACCACAGTTTCGGTATTATGCCAAAAATATTCAAGAGAGGATTATAAATATAAGAATAATAACAGTAAAGCTTGATTGGATGAGGATGGGGAGAATGATTTATTCAGTGGTGCAAAAGAGGCTACTTAGTTCGTCTTTGACACTATTTTCATCGCATAAAATACGTGCCAAATGAAGCAGCTCTCAACCCTAAGTTACCACCACGTTTGCTTGTGCTACATACTTGGCGTTTAACAGTATACAGACCGGCAACTGGAAAAATAAGGCGACTTTAGAGTATCGAACAGTACAGAATTACTATTCAACTTGCTAAATCCTACTTAATTTTTACAGTGTGCTACTGTGTAGAACCAAACGCGAAATCCTATGAGTGATCGAAATAACAGTCTCACAATACTACAGTTAATTTCCATACATCCCACTAAGCTTAAAATGAATTAATCCTTATTCACATATTACCAAAACATCACATATTATAGCGACGCAGTAAAGAAGTCCAAGAGAAATAGAAATTAAGAGTATATTCAACATTTCATTAATTTACAAAAGAATTCTGATGAAGGGTATTAGCGCTAGTTTGGCCGATTGACATTTCCGTTGATTTCATATTCGACCACATCCATATACCTAAAATATGAAGCACGACATGAAGTTATGAAAGATAATTTTTATATTAGTATACAATACGAATACTCTGATTTTATTAATGCTAAGCAAAATGTTTTACCCGAATAAAAGTATTTGTATTCCACAACTCACTTTTATATTGAAGCCGTATGCACCAGTAGACCACATATGCTTTCCAGTTGTCAGCCACGTCTAGTAAACCGTCAATGCCCAGCTCTTGCTACGCTGGGACTGACGCTGTTCCTTGAAGTTTCTCAGAAACGCTTAGTAATAACGGACGAAAAAACCAAAACACCAATTGTTGACTCGAGGATTCTTTATTGTTACACCAACATATAAAAAATGTTTCCACTGGGGTCTGTGAACAAATATTACAATAGTAAATCACAATATTACTTCTGACGGTTTTGTCCTGACTTCTTTCTGAACAGCGACCGATGAGACGATGACTGGTGTATTGATGCCTCCGCGAAAATTGGGGAAGTTGGTTTTGAGCAAACAACCATAAATTGATCGTTTAATCTTCAACTACATTGACACTTAAGATCACACACATCGTTACATATAACAGGCAACTCAGCATTACTTACTTTCCAGTCTGCTTCCAAATCGCTCTGTCCTTTCTTTGACCCAGACATTACTGAGCTTGACCAAACAATCCAGAAACTTTCCAGATAATACTTGTCCAAAGAAGACATGCAGACACTAGGAAAGTCGAACAGAAACTATCAGAAACTGTCAATATCTAGATCTTACTACACTGGACCCCACGCTGTCCTCGGGAGTCTTTCAGAAACTATGCGTATTAATTAGCACGAAAAGCCAGAATGCAAATTGGTGACTCAAGAAGCGTTTATTTTTGCATCAATACAGAGGCAACCAATAAGTTATTGTACACAAAGTCTAAGAATTAATGTCATAAAAATAAGTCACAATAATGCTCCTGATAGTTTTCTGTCTTCCACTGAACAGCGAATGACGAGACGATGACTGCCGTATTGATGACTCCCGCGAAAAATATGGAGGAGTTGGGTTTGAGCAAACAACCATGAATTGATCGTTCAATCTTCAACTACGTTGACCGCGATATTTTGATGCAGTCTGCCTGAATCGCTAAATATTTTGACGAATTTTTTAACAGTGTGTCGCTATCAGATCACATGACGTTGACAACAACATAACTAACCAGGAAATGAGAATTCTTATCCCAGTTCGGAAATCACATAGCCCAATTTTATTAATAGTTGTTGACCGAAAATACTTGCCGGGCGAAATTTCAACCAATATGCCGGATAAGTCCAGCCAGTCTTATGAAGGCTCAATTTTTACCCAGAATAAAGGCCATCTGAAACACAACTTCACTATATTCTTACACACTGTGGGTGTAGGGCTATATTGAAAAGCAGACTACGTTGAATATATGAAAACAAAACCTAGTGCTGAAATCATGCGATCAATGCCGACAACTGCCACAGCAATGAAGACAAAACGTTTCACTAATTTCACACGCCCCATGCTTGGGTGCACATTTAAATGTAATCCTTTTATTTTCTTGTATAGTTTTTCCACTATTTACTTCATTATGGTTGCTTGTTTTACCTCTGGCGGGACCCAGGGACTATTTTCAGTCACATTTGCACGTTGGACCTTAAGCGAATCATGAATTTTCCTGATGGTTATACAGAGCAGCCACTATTATTTTCAGTAAACCTCGTGACTGAAAAAAATAGATAACCGAAAGAGACGACGAGCCATCTCTTCATCATCTACAAGCGGCTGTCAGGGAAAGTATTCTAGATTACCTTCTCAAGAGTCACTTATTAGAGAAGACTTATTCAAAACCACTAAACATGTCCCTTTAGTCTCGTATGTGACATTCACTTTATGTCCTTGTCAAGTTTGTAACGACCAAATCCCTAAACCTTATTTGTCTAATAGGTGCGTTAGTAGGTGCCCTAGAACGGGCGATGCAGCCAAGTAAAATTTCACTGCTGTCTGAACACTTCAGGAATTGTAATGGTTGGAATATTAGTCGCCATTAAGACAAAATTTCTGGAAATTTAAACTATCGCAGCTAGTCCGACAAAATGCAGAGTCTTCTGAACATCTTGGCTAGCTTGCAATCTTCGAATGCATGATGTGTGACACTCTGCAATCAAATGTAATACGATGCTGCAAGACTAGGCTTCGTTGACTCCCACTTATACACGTGTTCTCATGCGTGCGGATAATGCTATTAAGAATGTCCTTAAATATCCATGTATCTGGTGACCTAATGAGAAGCATTTGTAATGAAAGCTACCAATGTTTAGTATACTGTACAACTGGAACGGGGTCAAAGTAATACACTTCTACGACTACATTTATTGCATAAGTTCTCAGAGCTTAACATCAAGGAGAGAGGAAGGATGGTGCATACAGATCGCCAGATATGGTAGTGGTCACAAATGTGAATCGATCGGATCTGTAGGACAGCAACATGCGTTTTCTGATTGCTTGTACTACAATTCAACAATTTCAACTTTATTAAAAGTACTAATTTATTATACTTCCCGGCTGCAATTTATAGAATAATTGATCGTGCCTGTAAATGCATATGTATTTGTATCAATTGCGAATTTCATCAGCTGTCTCTTTTCGCGTTTCTTAGTCTACATAACCTACACTTATTTTATCTGTTATTATCACCCCTATTTTATCGATACCGAACGATCAACGGGTGAAAGGATCAACTCTATTGACAATAGCAACACGATCTTAACACACCGCATACTGCATACTACCTGTAGTTAATCCCAGCACCACACATTTTGGAGTCAACTAAAGCTACACCGGGGTGAAATACACGAAAGTTTACCGCGGATCAGGAACCTTTACTTCACGACCAAGAAGGGAGCACAAGGAAATCAAACTGGTCAACACTAGCCCGTAAAAAACGATTTTGGATACTAGATTCCTAAATTTAACATGAATAACTCGATTTACAACTTATCTAAAGGCCTTCGTAGTACGGTCAACAGATGCGGAGTACACAGTGGAAACTCTTCAGTAACAATACTTTGTGGAAACTTTACTGGAGTAAGTAACCAGTATCTGTTGTACATGCTTAGATGTGCGAACATTTGATCTCTGGCGTTACTTTCTAGGTCGGTCGAAATGTTCTCTAAAAAACCATCTAGCGAGTCACAGAAACTATTAGATAGGAAAATGTATCTGGTGAGTCCGATTAAACCTGTAAAAAACTTATCTCGAAATGTGTTATTTAAAAAATCTCGGGTAATACTATTATTAGGAATCAGTAACTTTAAATGCAATATGACCACAATATTTATCTTTGTTATAATACAAAACCCGATCCCTCAAATTTCTTGGAAAAAGTCACGGAATCGCTGTAAGAGTATCCCAAGGAGATGAATTCACCTAAATTTAAATTTTGTGGAAAATATTCTCCAGAGTATACATTATTGTTCGCCACGCTTTTCTGTTTCATTTGCATTATAATGCAATCTCAGGTTCATCTGAGATTTTCAACGAAGTATTATACTTCTATTTTTACGGAATAGCACATTTTATCAATTATCTTTATTGGTAAACGTTAAATATGGAAAGTCGCAAAAAATTAGGCTCGTTGTAATAAGCGACGGAAAATGTCAGGCGTTTTTGCCAGGCAATATTCACGTGATACCGCTGTAGGGGACTAATATTAGAGTTCACTAACATTCCAAGTATAAAAGTAATAATCCAAGTCAGTGGAGTGTTAAATCACAATATATTACCAAAAATACAGTGACGAGTTATAGCAACAAAAAGGATTACTTGGTTATAAAGTGTAAGTCCTCGGCTACAAATTAATTATATAATCCACAGGCACGTTAACTGTTTGGACTGCGTCTGCTGTAGCTGCTGTGTTCCGGTTGTAGAAATGTCTTCGGTTGAAAGTAGTAGGCTCCTACAATAAATCCGAAGTATACAACACGGTGTGAGTGGAGCAAGTAAGCAGAAGTGACCAGGGAGAAGACGAAGTCTCCAACAGCAGAGTGTATTTTTCAATTGTACACGGAAATTATGTATATTTCAACAAGAAGCGATTTAAACAAAAATTATGTACAATATCTCGAATTTATACAAGTAACCAAAAAGTGTACAATCACATTGTTACGTACTCAACACGGCTCCCCCCTAGAGGTCCGGAGAGACAACCGGAAAATGATAAGTAAAACTATGAAGTAAATAATAATAGTAATAGCAACTTTTGGATAAAAATAGGGATATATTACAACATGCATAAACGCGAGAAGGTATGTGAATCATGTAAAGTCTGAAAGCATATACAATGAGTTCAGCAATAAAAATTGAAATAGAAAGTCATGTCACTTAAATTTGCACTAACCATGAACATAGATTTTTAATGTATAAAGAAAAATATGTAAATACACAGTAATTAAGGAGGGGAAAGAAACATTAAAAAAAAAATGGATTAAAGATCAATAGTTTTTGGAAAGGACACTACCTGTTTTTTCGGTGAGGTACATATAAATAAATAATAGTGATAGTAACATCAAAGTTTACGACGAAATACTAACGGTCATGATGATAATGTCTAAACGAAAAAGATAATAATAATTTTTAATTATTTTTCTTTTGTTAGTCCTCAAAATGAACGTAGCGAGCCGGTTTACTGATTTGCCGACCACTACGTGTTTGATATGGAGGGAGGATAAGACTTGGTGCCGGTGGAGTGGAATCGGATGTTTGATTATTTGATTGCGCAGTTGCCGATGTAGATTCGAAGTCGTTGTCGGTGTATGCGGGTTTGATTCGATCAATGGAAATAGTCTCTCGTTTTCCATTCTTGTTCACGGTAAAGTGTTTGTCTGAACGTTTAATAACTTGAAAGGGTCCTTCGTATGGAGGTTGCAATCCTTTTCTGATGGCGTCGACTCGAATGAAGACGAATTTGCAAGTTTGTAGATGTTTGTTGATCTGATCTCTTCGGGGAGATTGTCGAGGTGCTGTTGGTTGAAGTTGAAGCATTTGTCTAGTTAATCGGTTAGTGAAGTCGGCAATGTTCACGTCTGTGGAATCGGCTGAGGGGACTAGCTGTCCAGGCAAGGTTAGGTTGGTGCCATAGACAAGTTGAGCCGGTGTACATCCTAAATCTTCTTTGATAGTAGAACGGATACCAAGTAAAATCAAAGGTAAGTATTCACTCCACTTAGATGTATCATTCTGCGCCATCAGGGAGCTTTTCAGTTGTCTGTGGAATCTTTCCACTAGACCATTCGCTGCCGGATGATAGGCTGTTGTGGAGATATGTTTCACTCCCAGAAGTCTCGTCAGTTCGCGAAAGAGTGTCGATTGGAATTGAGGACCGCGGTCGGATGTAATAGTAGTTGGTACACCGTAGTTTGACACCCAACGGTCGAGAAAAACTAAAGCAACGTTTTCAGCAGATATGTCGTTTAAGGGGCATGCAATAGCCCAACGAGTAAATCTATCAATCGCTGTCAGGATATGTGTATATCCCCTTGATGTTGGCAATGGTCCCACGATATCTATATGGATATGCTGAAATCTCCTTTCGGGTAATTTAAACGTCTTCGGGGTTGTAATAGTGTGGCGGTGTACTTTGGAGCATTGGCATTGGATACATTCTCGTGCCCATCTCCGAATGTCAGAGTTCATTTTAGGCCACACGAAGCGTTCGCTGATCAGCCTGACCGTGGCGCGTACTCCAGGGTGGGAAAGCGAATGTAAATGTTCGAACAATGCTTTTCGGCAACTGAGAGGGACAAATGGACGATTAGTGCCGGTAGATACATCGCAGACTATGGTTGCATCTGATAAGGGGATAGGCACATCTTTGAGTTGTAAGGAAGAGTTTCTGCGGCAGGTTTGGAGTTCAACGTCATCTTTTTGTAATTGAGCCATACGATCAAGACTGATGTCTACCGACGTTTGGAGCTGGTTAATGTCACTTCTTGAAAGAGAATCGGCTACCACGTTCGCATCCCCTTTGATGTACTGAATGTCGGTTGAAAATTGGGAGATATAATCCAACTGTCTGGCTTCTCTAGGGGAGTGTTTATCAAGTGAAGTAGTGAAAGCATGACACAGGGGCTTGTGGTCAGTAAAAATAGTGAAATGCCGGCCCTGTAGTAAGTAACTGAAATGCTTCACTGCAAGATATATGGCCAGCAATTCTCTCCCAAAAGTGCTGTATCGTGTCTGAGCCGGTTCCAACTTCTTAGAAAAGAATGCGAGTGGGGTGACTTCGCCCTTCATCTTTTGTTGTAATACTGCCCCTACAGCTACTTGGGAGGCATCTGTGCACAAAATAAGCGACGCTTCGGGGTTGATATGGGATAGCATAGTGACTCTGGATAAGGCATCTTTTGCGTTGCAAAATGATTCGCGTGCTTCAGCTGACCACTGAAACTTTTTAGGATCATTTTTAAGGAGGTCGGTTAACGGCTGGACGATGGAGGCACACGAAGGAATGAAACGCCGATAGAAATTAAACATCCCCAAAAAACGTCTGACCTTCTTGAGTGAATCTGGTTCGGGGAAGTTTTTGATGGACTCTATCTTTTCCTCCGTAGGCGTAATACCATTCGCGGTTATGTGGTGTCCCAGAAACTGTATAGAGGAGACACCGAATATGCACTTTTTGGGGTTAATGACGACTCCATATTGCTCAAATCGTTGAAATAAGATGGTGAGGTGATCAGTATGTTCTTCGGGCGACGAGCTAGCAATTAAAACGTCATCGATATATACAAATACAAAGTCCAAACCTTGTGTGACCTGATCCATGAAACGTTGGAAGGATTGTGCTGCGTTCTTTAGGCCAAATGGCATGCGGAGAAATTCAAACAAACCGAAAGGTGTGATGATGGCCGTTTTTTCGATATCCTCTTGGGCAACTGGTATTTGGTGATAGGCCCTGACCAAGTCTACTTTAGAAAAAATGGTTTTTCCGTGTAATGTCAGGGAGAAATCATGAAGATGAGGAATAGGATAACGGTCGGGAACTGTGGCATTGTTTAAATGTCGGTAATCCCCACATGGCCTCCAATCATGATCAGCTTTAGGCACCATGTGTAAGGGCGAAGACCAAGGACTATTGGAGGGTCTGATGATGCCGAGCTGCATCATGTGTTCAAATTCTGCCTTGGCTGCTGCCAATTTGTCCGGGGGTAATCTACGGGGACGAGCACGAACTGGTTGACCCGTAGTAACTATCTTGTGAGTAACTGTGTGAGGGACGTCCTCGATGTTGTACGACGGCTTAAGAATTTTAGGGAAACGGTGAAGTAGGGAGGAAAAAGGGCAATCTGCTGGTCTTTCAATACTGATATTATAGACAGAATAGCTGGAGATAATTCCATGGATCTTTAGATGGGTGTTGTTATCAATCAGTTTTTTATTGTTGACGTCAACTAACAGGTTGAAATTACTCAAGAAATCTGCTCCGAGGATGGCGTGACTGACGTCGGCTACTATGAAAATCCATGTGAAACGCCGACGTAAACCTAGATCCAGTATGAGGGATTGCTCTCCATACGTCTGTATGCTTGTGTGGTTAGCTGCCCGGAGAGACAGTTTTCCGGGTGTCCGTGTAGATCGCCTGGATAGTGAAGGAGGGATTACGCTAACTTCTGCTCCCGTGTCTACCAGGAATAAAGTGTCTGAAGTTTTATCCTTCACATAGAAGAGGCGACTTGTTTGCTTGCCAGTAACAGCTGTCGCCATCACTGTCTGGCTGAGGCGTTTCCCTGAGCCTGGTTGGCTTCGCTAAAGCTGCACGGTTTTACACATTTCAGGGCATGACGTCCAAACTTCCAGTGATACCAGCATATATTGCTATCCCGAGAAGACGTGTAAGAACGCTGTCGTGAGAAGGATCGTCGTCGTGATGGTGACCTTCTTTGTGAACTCCGTCTCCGGACTTGTCGATCAGACTTATTAGTTTCCAAATTGTCAATCCTTGCCGCTAAGTCTGCAATGGCGGCGAGTATCGGTGTGTCTGCCGTGGGTGTGGAATGACACGGTGTGGCACTATCAGATGCTACGTGACTTATGGTGTTATCGGATAAAACATCCAAAATACTATCTGCCATGTCACTTAGTTGGTCTAAGTCATACGACTTTCCTGAGATGATTAAAATTTGCTGGACATTTCTAGGTAAACGTTGCAACCACATCTGTTTCAGCACTACCTCGTCTACTTTATGATGTCCGATTAACTGGCGCATGTGCCTGAGCAGCTGGGATGGTTTACGTGGGCCTAGTTCACAGCCTGTGAGCAATTGTTGGATTCTTTTCTCATCCGACAAACTGGTACGTTGTATGAGGAGGGCTTTAAGTTTATCAAATTGATGTTCCGTCGGAGGATCTTCGATGAAATCGCTGATTTCTGTCAATACTGACGGAGGGAGTTCTGCCAGCACCATACCATATTTGGCTATTTGGGACTTAATGCCCCGTGCTTCTAGCAACGGTTCAATTACCGCAAACCAAATCCTTGGTTCTGCGAAACCGTATTGGGGTAAACGAAAATCAGTGATGGCATTTATTGTGGCATTTGTCTCGCTATTAGTTGTCTGCTCGTTTGATGTACCGGACTGAGGTGATGACATTATTAATATGAGGTTATTGGTGCAAATTAGGATACAAATATAAACCACACACAAAATCACAATGAATATAAAAATAGCAAAAATAAGAATATAAATATGCCAAAATAATCCGTGTTCTTATCGGGCTCACCAATTAATTTGTAGGGGACTAATATTAGAGTTCACTAACATTCCAAGTATAAAAGTAATAATCCAAGTCAGTGGAGTGTTAAATCACAATATATTACCAAAAATACAGTGACGAGTTATAGCAACAAAAAGGATTACTTGGTTATAAAGTGTAAGTCCTCGGCTACAAATTAATTATATAATCCACAGGCACGTTAACTGTTTGGACTGCGTCTGCTGTAGCTGCTGTGTTCCGGTTGTAGAAATGTCTTCGGTTGAAAGTAGTAGGCTCCTACAATAAATCCGAAGTATACAACACGGTGTGAGTGGAGCAAGTAAGCAGAAGTGACCAGGGAGAAGACGAAGTGGCATAGTGGTTAGGACTCTCGCCAACCATGCACATGGTCCGGGGTTCGAGCACACACCGACGCACACCTGATATCTATGGTTGGCCTGCGAAATTTGGGCTACCGATATCCATGCTGAAAATTCCATACTTGTACCAAAAATACAGTGTGGAATCAAGCTGCAACCAAAAATAAAAAAAATAAAAAAAAAAATAAGTCTCCAACAGCAGAGTGTATTTTTCAATTGTACACGGAAATTATGTATATTTCAACAAGAAGCGATTTAAACAAAAATTATGTACAATATCTCGAATTTATACAAGTAACCAAAAAGTTTACAATCACATTGTTACGTACTCAACACCGCTATAGTTCTTTACTTACGGAGGTGCTTACTGAATATGTTTTATCTTAGTAACTATTCTGGTAAGGAAAACAATTCCTGTAAAATTAAAAGTCGTATACTGGTTTTGGTTATATTATTATAATACAGATGCATAACTGAACTCACTTTGTAAGTTGATAGGATCACAGTGGAAAATATCTGGGCAAACCAGACAGCAATACTATATCAGTTGATTAAATCATCTACCATTGGTCTGTGTTTTAGGAATCTCTAAACTAATTTCTAAAGATCCTCAAAATGTTTGATAAAATAGCTCAGAGTCTACCACAAACTGAGGTGATTGTATTTACATGCTGAGAGTTCCATTCTGTACTATAAGTACTGTTTTTGGAATAAAGTAAAAATAAATTGTTATTAATTATTTTATTTCAAGATTGTAGACATCTCGATATCATGATTCACTGTATACTCAACTTCATTGTTTCTACCTATTTCAGTTTTTTCTCCCATATGATATCACTTCCAATCTTTGTCAAAAAGTAGCGAAATTCTGTCTTATTTCTGTATTTAGGCTTACTTATTCGTTTTGATTTAGATAAAAGGTTGATGTGTCTGTTGTACTGTCGTTGTTTATCTGTATTACGTAGAGTTTCAAACTATTAATCTTTTTTTCTAATTGTACTCCTACCAGTATACGCCAAATGCTATTTCTTCTTCTTGACAAAAACACGTAGTAGCCCGTAGTTCAGCGAACAGACTCTACTCGGCGAATTCATTTTCCTCCTCAACTGTACAAATGCACTTAAATGCAATTTTTTCCAAGAAGGGGGATAATAACAAAAGTGATGAGTTGTCTCAATCGTAGTTGTTGTTAATATTGTTCAGTGCATAAAAGCAGCAGCCATTCAGATAGAGAAACGGAGGATTATTCAGCCGCTTCTATTATCATGGTAGAAACTATGTTGTTTCATACCGACGTGACTTTGTCTATTTTTTAAACTCTGTATAACTCTTGTATTTCTTTTTAAACTTTTGCGTAATTAGTGTGAGTCTAGAACTTGGGCGCTGTGTTAGAATGTAATTCCCTATTAGATATGTTTATTTTTAAATGTCACACCGATGGGTGACGTTTCAAGCATAAATCATTGCACCTCATAATCATATCAGTTATATTTACATGGTTTCAGAATTTATCTTATATATTTTTTTATCTCTTCCTCTCTCCAACTTCCCTTTGTTGTTTGTTGCCATTTTCTATATCTCCGGTATAAGCGTTGCATCATTCCGATCACACGTGTGCGGTGTTGAATCGATAAACAAAGTTCCAGTGATTAGCCTCTCTCAACTTAACTAGATTACTTATTAATACTCTCACCCTGTCCGACCCTATTTTTTGATTACACGCAAGTGAATGCAGTGCAATAGCTAAGCATTTTTCTAGGTTATTTAACTTGGCAGGGTCAATTATTCTAGGTCTAGCTAAATTTTTAGGTCCCAATAATCTAGTAGCAATCTTACGTAATTCCACACTTACCCTCGATTTTATGTGCTTCCTGATTACAACCATTCAATTAAATTATTCGTCCTGTTACGTAACTCTGACTTTTTATTCCTTCACGTTCCCAGGGAAATATAGGGCTTCAAGTTAGAGGCTTGATGTTTCGGTAGCAGTGGTGTTTATTTTTACGGGATGGGGTTGCTAGCCTCATGCCCAACCTCTTCTTTTTACCAGTCTTATTTTTAGCTTAGCGAGGTAAAGGAGTGCATCTGCTGGGGATCGTACTCCGGACCATGTGCATGGTTGGCGAGCGTCCTAACCGTTGCGTCACCCTCGTCATTCCAATACACTTATTCAACTCCTCCTATGTATTAACTAATATTAACAACTATATTTGTGACATCAACACTTTTTTGTTACTATCCTCTTTTTACGAGTTGATCACGGATTGATATCAGTTAGAGAACCATTAAAAACCGGGGAGTACTGGACAGCTGTTTCACCCTGCTTCGGGATTCTTCAACAGTACGCACCCACCGGGGGTCGAACCCAGGACATTCTGCTTACAAGGCAAGGTCGTGGACCATTCAGCCACTGGGACCCGGTTCAATGACTCATGAATTCTGACTTCTACCAATTCGTGATTTAGCGCGACCCCAACCAATGTCATCGGCGGGACAACCATCCTTCAATGGTTCTCTAGCTGATATCAATCCGGGATCAATTCGTAAAAACAAAACCAATCCTTACAAACCAACTATAGAAAACTATCCTCTTTCGTGGGAAAAAACTATATAAATGCAATTGTACAGCTAAGGAGGAGAAAATGAATTCACCGAAAAAACCTCTTTGCTGAACTACGTGTTTTGTTTTCGTTGCTGTGTGGATGAAAATTATTCATGAATTTCTTATTCTACCACTCTTTATCCTTCTTATTTATTTCATGCATTTCGCTTAATTTTAATGCATACATATATTCTGTTGTTCTTTTCTCTTAATATTCTATTAAGGTGATGTGTTGTGGTATTACTTTGTATTTTTATTGATTGGCGACTGTTGATGGTGTGAGTTAAAGTCGTTCATCGACACTGATGTAGTAATATACTCACCTCATTTCATCTTTCACACTGAAAATTTTCACTAATCCTCATTGAATGAATCTCACCTATTTTATCTGTCGTATGTGTTTATGTTCCCTTATTGTTTGCCTTCATGAATTTTGGTCATTTCAACTGGTACAGTTCTGTGCAGATTTCCATGTCATTGCATCAGATAGTCAGTTTCATCCATTTGTTGATAAAATGTATTCGAACACTAGTTGCAATTGATTTATTTTTTTTCACGAGTTGATCACGGATTGATATCAGTTAGAGAACCATTGAAAACCAGGGAGTACTGGACAGCTGCTGTTGGGGTCGCGCTAAATCACGAATTGGTAGAAGTTAGAATTCACGAGCCATTGAATCGGGTTCCAGTGGCTGAATGGTATACGAGCTTGCCTTGTAACCGGAAGGTCCTGGGTTCGAAACCCAGTGGGTGCGTACTGCCGATGATTCCCAAACTAGGATGAAACAGCAGCTGTCCAGTACTCCCTGGTTTTCAATGGTTCTCTAACTGATATCAATCCGTGATCAACTCGTAAAACATAACTAATCCTTACAAACCAAACTATAGAAAGTTATTTTTTTTCGATTAATTGAAGTTTTTTGTCCATCCACTTCATTTCTTTGTGATACATTCTATTTTAGTTATTAATACAAATTGTTTGTTTGCTTTACTATTATCATGCCTACTTTCTTCCTTAATATATATTTATAGGCTCGAGAGCGTCCAGATGATATATTCGATTTATCCTCATGTGAATTAAGAACGGTAACGGTGCTTTTTCTTTGAATATCACAGTTTAAATTTATCAGGTACCAGATGGAATATTCTCTCTTGTCAAAGTTTTACTAAAGACCAAATTATATTTACAACAAAATTATCTTCCAAAGCTTGATTCTGGTGGTAAACTGTCACTTCTTCAAAATATTGTCATCTTGGATATAAGTTCTAATGAATTACGACAATTACCTAAAGATATACATGAATTAAAGTGTTTACAAGTAAGATGCATTTCTTTATTTTGTCGTCTCTTTGTTCACTGAACTTTATATATACATATATATTTTAGGTTTTAAATGTTTCAAAAAATCTATTATCAAAATTACCATCTGCAATTGTGTCGCTTTCACACCTTGTACATTTCAATGTTGAGGGTAAATTTCTTCCGAATTTTTTCAATTTTTTTAGAGAGAAAGCACATGATAATGCATGCTTTTTTATCAGTGCTTCTCTCTTGGTTGTGATACTTTTCTTCAGTAGGTTAATATTTCAAAATATTTTATATTTTGTATGTTGTTAAATGTAGTCGGCTGTAGTGGCTTTCATGCCAAAATTTTAACAATGCTTATGTGAATAACTGTTCCAGTGGATGATGGTAGCACTGTAATGTGCAGCTGTAGAACTCAACAGTCATGAACAATTGCATTCTGACTTGGTTGTTGATTGGCAATATTATTCCTTGGAAATTCTGATGAACGAGGGTTCAATCCCTGTTGCGTATTAGCTGGACGATATTTTAGAGTCCCGAGTTGTAACAGAAAGTGTCTATCGGTGGTCCAGTGGTAGAATGCTTGCAAACTACGTCTCACGTGGCCCATTGTTTGATTCCCAGTCGGTGGTGCACTGGTAAACTCTGCTTAACCGAGTAAAGAGAGAAGGTTGCTTGTGAGGCTAGCTACTCAACTGCTATTGAAACGCCAAAGCTCAATCTTAAAGCCCTTTGTTCCACTCGGAACGCAAAGGCATGAAAAACGAAATTATTATGAAACACGTCTCCAGTGGTCTTTTAGTCGGAGTGGTTTCCTAGATGATTTTATACACTTATTTCCCTGTATGAATTTGAATAAAGTGAGAACTGCAGTTTATCCACAATAAGATCGCACGGCCATTTGTTTCGTCGACTTATCATCAACTGTATACAGCCTAAAAATGATTAAGTCTATGTTTAAAACAATTTTAACATAATTGTTAATGTTACCATAATGTCAGCTAACAGGAGACTCCAAACTTAATAAACAATGCTCAGAAAATTACACTTATGCATTTTTCCCTCAGATAGTCCAAGTTTAAACAAAGAAAATTAACCCTTGGGTACAATGGCAAGAGTTATGCAATAAAGAAAAGAGGTGAATAAGATGATGAGCAACTGATAAATTGAGTAAGAATGTGGTGAGTTCCACTTAAATCATAGAAACAAGATACAATCAGATTTACACCACATCAAAAGGGGATGAGAAGGTCAAAGCTAAAGACTACTTAATCAAATAAAAGAGAAAGAGAGAGAGTAAAGAAATTTAGTTACCAACCAGAGCAAGGAAAGACTGATAACTGCTTCTTTCTGAACAGAAATTGAGTTTCAGGTATCTGATGGAAATTGCTTCGGCAAACTAGAGGAGAATTGAAGTATTTTGTCGATTCTTGATGTCCAATTTTTTCTTTAGGAGTACTCTCAATACGTCTGTAATGCGTTTTTCAACTGTATGTGTTGTAACTTTCTGAGAACCTCTGTGGGTTATCTAAGACTGCTTTCATCTTTCCAATGTAATCTTATTTGTCCATCAATATTACCCCTGAGTCCTTATCAGATTGCAGTACGACAATTTTGTCATTGTTTTTGAAAGCTTTTGATACTCTTCTGTGATGCTCCTCAGAAAGGATCTGGGAATATAACTTTACTGAAGTGATGTAGTGATTTGTGACGTTGACCATCTTCAAGTTTTACCCAGTTTACTAGATAATCATAATCTTAGTCACCTCTGATTTTTATTACATAACTCATTTGCCAGTGTATCTAGGCTCTTATTTTTGTCTAGACTTGAGCTCACCGGGTATAAACTGTATAAGTATGATTTTCTGAGAGCTGTTTGTTAAGTTTTGAGTCCCCTGTTAACTGACATTATGTAACATTGGAAAGTATACTTTGATTGAACACTAGTGACTAGTGTGATATGTCTAGTCCTTTCTTTAGTGCGGACTGAATTCTATCAGTCAGGTTTGCAATGGGGCCAACATTCTAGGTAGCTCACCATCACGGTGCACATTGATTTTATGGTATTAGATGGTTAGAGGCTATCGGCAGGAAACCTTGGCTGCACCTAGGTTTCGTGTTAGTTGGCACTCACTAGTCAGTCAGCAAGGCGTATCTGCAACCTTGAAGGAACTCATATCCTTTCTGAGATACATCACACTAGTTACTAGTGTCCAATCAAAGTATCCGATACAGTCCCATAGGAGGTCAATCGCGAGGCTAAAAACCTCAGTGATGACGTCTCTGATTGCAGCGCTGGGTGACGCGGTTTTGATACTCAGAAGGGATATGAGTTCCTTCAAGGCTGCAGATACGCCTTGCTGACTGGTGAGTACCAGCAGGCACGAAACATGGCTCCAAGGCTTCCTGCCGATTGCTCCCAACCATCTAATATTTGTAAGTATGTTAGATGATTTTAATTCGTGAAGAATTTCATCTTATGATAAGTCAAACTGTTATAATTCTGACTGTTTCATTTTATTACTGATAATTGCGACTGAATTTATTATTTCTAAGTAGCATTTCAGATAAATCGGTCAATTTCCACTACATAACTTATCTATGCAGAAGCTTCATTCTTCCAAAACATAATATTGATGTTATTATTAATATAAATGTCTTTTACTTCGTTTCTCGTCCTTTTTCCTACTATACTAATATGATTATGGTAACTGCTTGGCTTACGACTCAATAACCATAGGTTAACCGCACCCTCACGTGGGTCCGACTCCCGACCACTCCTAAACCTTGCTTAGCCGGTAGTAAGCTCTGTAAGAAAGGCGGGTTGAGTATGACCTAGCAAACTCACCCCGCAAATTGACTGACTGACTGGTTTCAACGTAGAACTTTGCACAGATGTGTAGCAGTTCAACTTGCCACTCTCCCTCCATGTAGCACACAAATCAAGGGGAGAGAGTAAGGAGAGATTCAAGGGAGAAATAGAGATTATAGACAGAAATATCAGGCAAAAAACAGTAGTATTATGGGAGAACAATAGAATTTTATTAGATATTATAAACCATAAAGATTGAATGCATCTACGTCAGCCATCACCCAGAACGATTTTCAGCCGTATCACTAATCGTCTCTAGCCTTGATTGGTTTTTACTATCCCGAAGTGCCCAACCAGAAAGTCTACACCTGTGTACATAGCTTAAACTAAATGTGGATTTCAGTGACTGATGAAGCCATGGTTTGCTTTGACTACCACTAGCTCTTTCCCAACCTGATCCATCCTATGTCAGTCAGCTAATATTGCTTGTTGTTGAGGAAGGTGATTGCTAAGGAGACATGCGTATCACATGCCATAACCATCTCGATCAGTGTAACTTCACAACCTCGTCGATTGATTTCCCCTCCCACCTACCTATCACTCGACGCCTAACCGGAATATTGCTCACCTTATTATACCACCACCCAACATGCAAGATAGAACGCAGACACCAATGATCAATGGCAGCTGGCCTCTTCATGTCTTCCACTTTTAATGGCCATGTCTGGCTCATAGCCATAAGGGAGGATGGAGGGGAGTACTGAGCAGTACTCTTGTACCTTGGACGATTACCAACTGGCTATTACGTCTACTAAGCTAAAGACGGCGTAAGTTCGATCGTTCTGTATCCGTATTGAGATTTCGTCAGCGATCAATCCGTTGGGGCTGGCTGGTGGAACTCCCCTAATAAGTGAAGTGGTCAACTGAAGCATCAGAGTTCAAGCTTGAAGGTCTGTATTACAATCGGAACCCAAAAGTAAATAAATAAATAAAGTCCAGATCTTTCATTAACTGTATATTATGCAGCCTTGGGATTTTAATTTTACCTGGATACATGAACTTTGGTTGGTAAAGCGGAAGTGATTTGAAATCGGCTTCCTAATTTCATAAGCTATAGCTTTATTTTCTGTGTTGAGATACTCGTAAAAACGAAATCTGACCCAAAACTGCTTATTGCTTTTCTATCCTCTTTTTTAGATAATAAGCTTACTGAATTGCCATCAGATTTTGGAAAATTGAAGGAAATAACTAAGCTGTACCTGAAAAACAATCCTTTATTATCTTTACCAAAACATTTATGCTACTTGAAACGCTTAAAGGAATTAACTCTTTCACATGAACAGATTCGTTATCCACCGTCAGGTAAATTATTTGAATAGAACTTTGTTATCATATTCTTTGTAAATAGGATAGTAGTGGTGTGATAAATGTACTGTTCAGTTCCGATATATTTTTTATATAAAAACTGAATTTTATATATAAAACTGAACTGACGGGGCAATATCTTCACTATAACAACTTTTGTCCCATAAGCTATAAACGTGGATTAGTGAGGACTTTGTGCGACAGAGCCATGAAGCTATGTTCACCAAACAAGGTCGAAGAAGAATTAGATTTCGTCGAGAAATGCTTAAGACATGTAGCTTCGATGTAGCTTTATAACTTCATCGATCGACTTTCCCTCCTTTCCTAACACCTTACGCCTAACTTCAATATTATTCACGCTATTAAGACATCTAACACGTAGACACCTATGATCAATCACAGCTAGCCTTTTAGTATCTTGCGCTTTCAATATCCATGTCTCACATTGATAAAGGAGGACAGTGTGAGTTGGTGTGCAGCTTACATTCTTTGATATGATATCCGGATATCACATTTACCCCAGAGATCATGTAAGTTGTCAAGCGCCACGCGAATCTTTTTTTTATTAGTGCTGAGATTTCGTTAGCAATCAGCCCGTTGGGGGGCTGATGTGACTTCACAAATAAGTGAGGTAGATAAACACGCTCCAGTGGGAGAGTTATACCTTGCTTGAATGCAAATAAATTCAGCTGAAGAGTGCGAAATAGGTGGGAACAAGTGTTTTGGATTCCACTGTGAACCACTACCACCTATTTAGTAAGAACTCTTGTGAATTTACTTCATTCAAGTTAGTTATCGGTTGAAATCGATGTATAATTTCAGTTTATTTGTTTATTCATGAGCTGAGGCACACTGTGTACTTATATTGGCTTTAACTGTCACAGATTATTGTGTATAGTTCAAAAAGTCTAGTCTATAAATGTATATTAGGTGAAATCCGTTCATGATAAATAATATAAGTTAAAAAAAAGACAACGTGCAAATTCTTCATAGTAGATAAGCCACGCTTATTTTATACAAGACTTTGTGAAAGATATATACTGCGGTTAAGATTTCTTGATCCATTTGTTAATATGTTTATATTTCGACGTTTATCTCTTTTTTTTCCGCAAATATTTTCTAGATATATGTGCAATGGGATTGTCGGAAATCATGCGATTTTTAGCTAAAGGTAATTTTTATGTGTTTTATATGTCCAAACCAAATTCACTTTTAACAGTTTGAAAAAATTTGGGCATTGGGTATATGATATTCATTATAATAAAGGTGTTTTTGTATTTCCCAATGAATGAAAAACAAAACGATACTATTGCTTCTACTGATGGTTTGCTTTTTAATGCTGCTAATAGCTTTATCAAAGTATTATTAAACCAAAATTTACACAATCTCAGCATATATATATATATATATATATATATATATATATATATATATAACAACTTAATCATCGTTCCTCAGCATGGGGGCATTTTTGCGTTGTCAAGTTGACCAATTGGTAAAGACAACAAAACCAGGTGTAGATTGTTGGATTTGATGAATGTATAAAATTATTAATGCAGTATGTGTTTGCATAATGAAATCGCTTGTCACATTCGTGTTAATTTTGTCACTTCATGGGGGAGGGAGGTGTTGTAAACAGGTCAAATCCTATTTTAGTCCATCATTCCTATTCAAACAGTTTGGATCCCACTTGATATGAAGTGCTTCTAATAATATTAGACGTTCTTTGTGATTTAATTTCAATATTGTCAAAATCAATTTTGTGGCCTGATTCTATAGCGTGTAGACAAGCTATGGCTGATAATTTTTCAAACTTTTCTAATTCAACTGGACTTCTCGGTGGTCGAACAGATGTGGCTCTACGGTGTTCATTTCTTCTGATTTTTATTTCTCTCTGGCGATGTTTGTCCGATGTATATCGCATCACATTCCAAGCATTTTATTTTATAGACACAATTAGATACAGAATCTTTAGGGACTTGGCTTTTTCTGTGAACAAGGTTGTTTCGCAGTGTGTCTGTTTTGAAGAAAACTTTGATGTCGATCTTATCGAGTACTCTTCTGATATCGTCTGATGTCTCCTCTCTATATGGAATGACAAATATTGAGGTCAATGTTTTCGGAATACATTTTCGACCATACTTAATGTCAGTGTTGATTTTGTTGATGAAGTTCTTTGGGTAGCTGTTTTGTTTGAGAGTCTCAGTAATGTTTGATATTTCTTCTTCTTTTTCTTTCCCATCCGTTATCAGAGAGTGTGCTCATCCAAGAAAACTTGAAACAACTGATACCTTTGCGCTGATGGGGTGTGATGATTTGAAGTCTAAATATTTATTGGAGTGGGTTTTCTTCCTGAATACAGATATACTAAAATATCCGTTTTCCCTCCTATTGACTAGGTAGTCTAGAAATGGTAGTTTACCGAAGTCTGGTTCTGCTTCTAAATTAAGCTGGATTCTGGGAGATAGACTGTTTTTTTTCTCCAGGAATGAACTGTGTAGATCTGGTTTTAGTACTACAAAAGTATCATCCGCATATCTTAACCATATTTTTGGAGTGAGTATGTTTGAAAAGATGTTATCTTCGAATCTATTCATGAAAAGGTCAGCGACTATTGGGGAAACTGTTGAACCCATAGCAACACCATTTGTCTGTCTACATAAATTCCCTTTACATGTAAAATAATTACTTTCTAGACAGAGCGCCAAGCTCCTAATTATTTCACTGGTGTCCAGTAGACATCTTTGTGATGGCGTTGTATCTGATTCTAGTAGACTGGAAATCATATCAAGACTTTCGGTAATAGGGATACTAGTATATAATGATTTTTATATTATACCTTTGTCAATTTCTCAGTGTTCTATTTGGGATTTGAAATCATATGAATCTTTTACAATATTTTGAGTGTTCTTTTTTAGTGGTTGTAGTATCGAAAATAAGTATTTATTGAGGGTGTGTGTCGGTGAGTTGGTGAAATCTACTACTGGTCTTAATGTAACTTTGGGTTTATGTATCTTCGGTTGACCGTAGAATCTTGAAGGTACATTATATATATATATATATATATATATATATATATATACTGCTGACTTATAAAAGTAGTTGAAAACCACGAGTGCTAATCGGAAATCATCTGCAACTCGCTCAGAAATATCACCACCAGCACACACAGGACTACCAGTAAAAACCGACCTCCCAAAAAGGGCAGAAATCTTGCATGTAGTCAGGCTGCTGAAGTCCGGGAAGGCGTCAGGACCAGGCGGAATTCCCCACGAGCCACTGAAAACTGATATCCTCACGTCATTATTGCCAAAGGTGCCTACTAAGTGGGAGGAAAGCTACCTTGTCAAGCTACCAAAAGAGGACGACTTAGACCTCTGCAGAAACTGGTGTGGAGTAATGCTTTTGTCCATCCCAAGTAAAATATGAAGTTGCTTCATCCCGGAGAGGATAAAAGATGCAGTGGATATAGAATTCCGTCCCCCAGAACAAGTTGGGTTCAGCAAAGGCAAATCATGCAGTGATCAAATCAGAACTCTTCGCATCGAAGAAAGCTTAGAATTAGAGTCAGCAAGTAGATGATAGAATAACCTTCAGCAGGAAAACAACCAATGAGAAGACGTTGCTTATGTGCTAACAATAACGAATAATAATGTATATAAAAATCTATAAATATCTGTTGATTTTCTCAATGAATGATCTGTTGCGCGGCCGTTTTCCTCTGTCGGTACAACAAGACTGTCGGTGAACATATAGAAGATGGAGGTGATGAAGATAACCAGCCAACAGTAACAATAATTATCACCCACAGCGGGACAAATTTGAAAAAAAGGTCACTTCTTTCATTTAGCTGGGCAATATAGTTCTAGCTACATGAAGGACAGTTTAGGATTTCAAAGCCAGTCAGGATTGGAAAGGTAAGATGCACCTTCATCAACCTGAGATCAGTCTGGGAATCTTCTGCACTTACTCGGCAGCATAAAAAAGAGGATTCGTATTTCCAAGATGAATGTGAACTTAGTCAGCTCTTCTATATGGGTCAGAAACTTGTCGCTTGCGTCAAGAAAAGCATTTCCAACAGCTGCTTTTGTTGACTTCATATCGAAGATCAAATGGTCGACCACAAAGAATTAGAGAGAGACAGGCAGAGAAATCTAGCGACGACTCACTCATCAACCTGTTGCCCAGCAGATATGCCGAAGAAAATGAAGATTGGCTGGATACATGCTGAGATGACCGTCGAATGACATTACGCGCACCAATACATCCACAGTTTGAACGAAATCCAGCCTGCTGTTTATAGGAATCAGTGCTTCACGTGTTTTGCACAGTATGCTAAGCAAAACAGCGGCCAATATTATAGACTCGAATGGTGGCAAACTAATATCCCTATGGGTGTCGCACATATTACGTCGGCTATTTTATAACATTGGCAGTATGATGAATTCGTTTCACATTGATGGAACATTCTCACTTTTCCATACTTTCCTGAGTAATTCACTTAAAGTGCTAATGAGAGGGCTCCGCTTGACAAGGGAGGGGTTGTATACATAGATTTAAGTATTTATGAATAACAGAGGGATGGATTAATGGTGAAGGGAAGAAATTAATGATTCTTGTAGAGCAACATAGAAAATATGAGGGAAAGACAAAAGAAGCACAATACGGCGGCATGTGCAAATTGTGATTTCAATATTATACATATATATATATATATATATATATATATATATATATATATATATATTTGATTACAGCTTGATTCCACATCGTATTTTTGGTACAAGTATGGAATTTTCAGAATGCGATATCGGTAGGCCAAATTTCTCAGGCCAACCATATATATCAGATATGCGTCGGCGGAGGATCAAACCTCGGTCGGCGAGAGTCCTAACCACTGTGCCACCGACGCACAGGGTAAGCTCGTAGACCATAAGTAGAAGTTAGAATTCGTGGGCCATTGGATCGGGTCCCAGTGGCTTTATGGTCTATGAGCTCGCCTTGTAACCAGAAGGCCCTGGGTTCGAACCCCTATGGTAGGTGCGTACTGATGAAGAGTCCCAAACTAGTGTGACGAAACAGCTGTCCAGTGCTCCCATGTTTTCCAATGGTTCTCTAACAACGTCAGCTCATGATGAGATCGTGTAACCAAAAAAAATTTTGTTGGTTGATGTGGGTGGTGTATAACTCATTTCAATCAATCAAGTTTTTTTATTCCTTTACGTTCCCAGTGGAACATGGAGGGCTTCAAGTTAGAGGCTTGAAGTCCCGGTAGCAGTAGTGTTTATTTTTACTGGATGGGGTTGCTAGTCTGCCTAATGCCCAACCTCTTCTCTTTAACATTCTTATTATTGGCTTGGTGAGGTTAAGGAATGCGTCGGACGGGGATGGAATCCCGAGCCACATACGTGGTTGGCGAGCATTCTGTCGCTGTGCTACCGACGCGCCAATCAATCTGTGTTACATACTTTTATACAAGCATTTTATTGTGTTATTTGTTTGATCAATTTTTTCATCTTTTTCTTTTTTTGTTCTTAATTTTTTTCTCCAGAGGAAGGAATCGAATATGATCCTGTTGTCATATCTCAGGAAAATGTAACTAACCAAAATATTTCAGTGAATGATAAAAATAGTTCTGGTGAAGTGAATACGCTAGACGAAACTTACCACTTGAATAATACTGTAAGTTGTTTCACTTTAACTTTGGACTATGGTTTAATAAGCTAGAAGCTTCAAGTTTTTTTAGCATGCATATTGTTTACCATATAACGTTACACCGATTATGACATATTATTACATGTGTTGCGCATGCATCCCCAGTCATCTCCTTCCTCAACAACAAGCAGTGTTAGCTGGTTGACATAGAACAGATCAAGTTGGAAAAGAACTAGTGGTAGTTAAAAATAAAACACCTGGCTTCATCAGTCAATGAAATCCACAACAGTTAGTTTAAGCTACGTATGGAGTTGTAGGCTACCACCTAGTTGGGGTCCTTGGAATGGCAAAAACCAATGACAGGAGACAATTGGTGATATGACTGGCCCAAAATCGTTCCCAATAACTGGCGCAGATGCATTCACTCTTGTCATTTATAATATCCAATGAGAATATATTGTTCTCCCATATTACTACTATTCTTTTTTCCTGACTCACACTTCCGTTTTCGTCTCTCTCTCTCTCTCTCTCTCTCTCTTTCTTCTCTTCTCTTGCTTTATGTGCTACATGGAGGGAGTGTGGCAACTCGAAGTGCTGTACATCTGTGCAAAGTTCTATGTTGAAACCAGTCAGTATACAGTGTAACATAAATAAACATTATATGCTGTTTCAAGTTTGACCACAGATTGATGTCAGTGAAGAACCACTGAAAACTGACACGGAGTGAGTACTGGACATCTGTTTCTTCCTATTTTAAAACTCTCACCACCCACGGCGGTGGTGGGGGTGTTCTGTTTCCAACGCAGGACCTTCCGATTGCAAGTCGAGCTCATAAAATATTAGGACACTGGAATCCAATCCAACAGCCCATGAGTTCCACATTTTACAATCCGTGAGCTTAGCATGACCACCAGGTTAGTGACTTTGATGAGTATTTGTTTTCACAATCATCAACCTGATGTAAACCTCACCGCCTCTAAATTAAGATGAAACACCTGTCCAGTGTTCCCTGTTGGTTTTCAATGGTTCTTTAACTGACATCAATTCGTAGGCAAACTTGAAACAAATGAAATGCCTACAAACTAATTGTTGAACATTATACGCTGTGTTACTACCGCTGTAGTGAGAGATGGCTGTTAGCCAAGTTGGTAGACAGTAATTTACGTCAATGTTTATGTCATGTGAAAACAAGAACAAAAAATGACAGCAGACTTTGCGTAGGCGGATACAATTAGCAATAGATGATCTGACATTCAAAAAACAGCCATAAAGAGATGAAAGATTAACTTTCAGTGAGAAACAACCATCAGAAGATTGTGTTTTTCTGCTAACAATAATCGATAATAATGTACATGAAAATCTATAAATATGTGTTGATCTTCTTAATAAACGATCTGTTGCCTGACTCTTGCTTTCTCTCGTTACAGTTGAAGCTAGTGCAAATGTGCACACCTAGTATGGAATGAAATTGTGTGTGTTCAGGAGCAACCCTTCCTACACGGATGGAGTACTCAAAGTTTATGTCTGCTTTTCCAGTTGATCCCTATGAAAGGATAGTAGTCCGGATCTGTTACCTTCAAAAAACTTGTGACACTTTAGGATGCAAATGCATTTGAATTTCGACATATCACCTATATACTAATGGTCTCGTGGAATTTTATCACTGACATCATAAAGCTTCTCTTATGACAATCAACAATGTTTAACAGACTATTTCCTCTCCATTACCCTTTTTCTACACACTATCTACTCTCAACTTTCATATACAGTGCACAGAAACAGTTTGAGAAACCACGTTTCCGTAACTCAGTGAAATACCTGCGAGCGTCTTAACCGCTGTGCCTCCACCGACTGGCAATAATGATGATGATGTGACTAGTGTCAGATATGGGACTGGGATGAGCATATCATCTAGAGACCGAATACTAAATACCTATTTCCAATTCCTCCAACTACCCCCACCCTTCAGAGTACACGCGAATAAAGATAGAAGACAGATTAGTTCGAGTCGGTAACAACCTCGAAGAGTTAAGCCAATAAATAACTAATTACAATAATTGCACAAGGTGGTTGGATTTCGCGTTTGTCCAATCACACAGTAAGGTAATTCTTGTGCTTCAGCGTAATGTTTTGATTTGATAATGGTTTCAGCCCTTTTAAGCTGATTAGCCGATAAAATATAACTGTTTGAAGATTAAGCAAATATTAATTTCAAGTTGCTATATATACAGACGCAGAAATGAAAACAGCAATACGACACTTAATTGATGGATCGTGAATAGCAGTGGAATCCAGGATGCGCATTTCGTCCCACTTAGAACTCGTCAGTTGGATGTACCTGACATGTCGGCCGAGCACTTCGGTCCAATCAATCGACGGGAAAATCAAAAATTAAATTAAAGCAATACGACACTATTTGTTATTTTATATTCTGTTTTGCTTACATCTGTTTGTTACACATTTCAAACACAGTAAGTTTTCAAGTGTTGGTTTGTAGGGATTTGATTGGTTACAGGATTTCATCATGAGCTGACATTAGTTAAAGAACCATTGGAAAACCTGGAAGTACTGGACAGCTGTTTCGTCAGCCTAGTTTGGGACTTTTCATCAGTACGCACCCACCGGGATTGGAGAAAGTTTGGGTTCCCGGCCGACCCAGAAGATCCTGGGTTCGAATCCCTGTGGGTGGGTACTGATGAAGAGTCCCAAACTAGGACGAAACATTTGTCCAGTACTCTCAGGTTTTTCAATGGTTCTCTAAGTAATGTCAGCTCATGATGAAATTTTTTAAACAATAAGTTTTGATTGAGTATACTAACAAGTATGAACAATCTGGCTACTAGTCAGTCATATGGTGTACTTTCGAAGTCAAAAATAAAACGTCATATGGAACATAATATGCCTGAGAGAAGTTTGTATCCTGCAAATCAATAAATACACAAATATTAGAAACACACTTTGTCGGTTAGAGGATCAATCCTGTGGGGAGCCTATAAAACAAAACAATTTAGTTTATCTAATACCCTGCCTGCAATGATTGTCAGGTCAAATACATCGGTCAAAGTATTAGAACAGGGTCAGTTAACCTAGCAGATCATAAAAGTCTAGCAGAATCCAGATTAATTGACCCTAATAAGATAAGAAATCTGGAGAATAGTTCAGTTATACCACTCACTACATGCAATTACACACAATCATACAATAGGCTGGATGGGATAAGATGACAGTTTTAAAATCTAATGTAACACCAGGGGGAGGGAGCGATTGATAACGGAAGCCTTGTTTATCTAATCAACTGAAGAGAATACGTGTAATAGGAATGATTCAACACCTGTCCAGTTGGACATCTGGAAAATTCTACTACCCCTACGACGACAGATAGGAGAGAAAACTACAAAACTCGAGTTTCGAAGTCATGTGATTATAATTGATATGATTATGAACAATAATGAATTGTGTTGGGAACGTCATCCAGTAAATAATACTATTTCAGTGTGTGAAACTAATATGTTGTATTTTATCATCTTCATCACTCACAGGATGTTTGCGTTCTACTTCTTGTGTTAAATTTTACGTAAGGGGGCTTAATCGATTGCTGTCGTTATGAAGCTACATCGACTGAGATCGCTAGGATACGTGTTGCACATGCCAAGTCACCAGCGTCTTCCTTGAAGAACAGTGTTAGATGACAAGGGATTACGTTAGAATACAGTTAAGCGGCAGTCAAACCAAAAGCTGGAGTCAATCTAGAAGTCACTGATAAGTTGGTTTGAGATAACCGTGTAGGGAGATGTATTCGGTCTTCATGGTTATAGCATCCTTGTGATGCTAAGAACTAATGGTTCAAAATTGATCTCAGTGGTGTAAATGCACTTACTCTTTATAATCTCTCATATCTATTAAAACCTGTTTTCCCGTCTTACTATTCTGCCTCCCTCACATTTCTGCTTCTTAATAGATTATTTGAGTTCATTTTTCTCTCCCTCTCTTGCTTTTGTCTACCTTTGTGTGTTGCATGGAACTGTGCACTTCTGCGCAAAGCTATATGTTGGAATTCAGTCAGTCATTGAGATTTGAATGATGCTCAAGAAGGCTTCGTGTGCTTTTAGAAGTGTGTGGGCGGTTTTTACTTCCTGGCTGCTAACGCCATGGGATTTGACTGCTTCTTTGGATACCTGAAACAAAAAGAGGATTAGTGTAACGTGACCACAGAGTCCAGAGGACAACTGCTTGAGGCCGATCACACACGGCCTGTATGAACTGGTTTCTTGGATTTGTTCCGTATTAGTAAATTTACCGCCGGTTACTGACACCGTTAGGTAAGTCGGGATGTACAATTGTTGGGGTCGACCTTTTCGGATCCCCTCTCTCCATAGTGGAGAGACAGCACACTGGCATACTGCTGTTACATCCCTGTTCCCCGGCAGTACGACTTCCCCCACAGACCCCCAGCATAGTGTAAAAAAATCTTACACTATGCCGGTAACTGCTTTTATTCTAATCGCTATCCTAACAACCTTCTTGGCCTGCAGGAACAATAGTTCCAACCAGTGTAGCTTCTTGGGTCATTGCGATATGTAAGCCCGACCACCACGTCAAGGTGGCAACTATCGGTCACGATGCAGATGTATCCACTCATTGTGACTTATAACACCCAATAAAACTCTATTGGTCTTCGATACTACTATTCTTTTTACCTCACATCTCTGTTTACTGTCTCTATTTTGCACTTCCTTTCATTTCCTTCTCTTTCTTTGTGTGCTACATGGAGTGTGGCTACTGGAACTGCTGCACATCTCTACAAAGTTCTATGTTAAAACCATTCAGTCAGTAGGATTTGATCTCGATGGGGTCGTAGGCGAACTTTGCTGAAGTATTTCCAAGCAAGATGAACAGATGTTCAGTTACCCCTCGTCCTCGAATTTTCTTTGGTTATCTAACAGGTATTGGTGCGTGGCGATGTCTGTACGTAAAATAAATAGAAAAAGTATTTTGTAAATATCATTTTACATTGAGTGTAATATCAAGTTCGCTAACTGGACTAATCTTTCGCTTCGTTTTTCTTCAGGTACCATCTGAAGCACCATATGATCATGATCGAAAGAAAAAAGATGAGAAGTTGTTAGCACTGGAATTAGAACGTCAATTATTTGAAAATAGTTGGGCGGAAAAAGAATTAGCCTCTAAAGCAAATCAAAATAAACAAATACTTGCACAACTGGCAGAAGTAAGTATGAATTTCAAATAAACACGATTACTATTTAATTGATGGATGGTGACTAGCAGTGAATCCAGGATGTGCATTTCGCTCTATTCGGGACTCGTCATCTGAATGTACTGAATTTCTAAGTGAGTGATGATGTTCCCACCGAGACTCGAACCCAGTGCCAAAGCGTTATACACTAGACCAAGTGGGCGACGACAGCCACCCTTGTGCAACGGTTCATATTAATTATTTAATTGAATTTAAGATTTTCTCGTCGATTGATTGGACCGAAGTGCTCGGTCTCAGGTTGACATGTCGGCTAGAGAGATGACATGTCAACCTTTTTATTATCCATACTGACCCAATAATGATACAGAGTAGTAGTACGTAAAAATGGAAAATTTGATTAGTGAATTTTTAGCGAATGAGTCAACATCATTGCACAATATATAAGGAATATAATTCGGTGATTATTCCGAAGTTATGGTAAATTTTAAATCAAACGATGAGAAGCAGCATGAACATAAGAGTTATATAAATCAAACAACGACAGGTACAGTGTACTCTGCCTTATAAAGAACCTGCGGGAGCTGTCGCGTAACTATGCTTAATTACAGTTATAAATACCGGAATGCAAAAGACAAGCTGTCGCATGGGGCCACCTCAACGTGCATATATCAGTTTACTTGTTCTGGCTGAGTTGAGTACATCAGCCGTATTATTCGCCAACTTGAAAAACGTTCCGGTGAAAACTATCCAGCCTGGCTAATAAAAGGAGAACGAAGACGTGTATGTAGTTCAGTGACAGAAAATCTGGTTAAATCACGACATTCAGCGCCATTCGAAAAATCCTTCAAAATAATATACAAGATTAGATCAAACCTATCCAAGGGAGTAAAATTAAGACATCTTGGCATATCCAAGGCACAAGCTATCCGAAAACTCAAACCCACGCTATGTATCAAAAAAAACGTCGAACCCTTTTGCTTGCTATGGCCATCATAAACTGGTAATTCTTCTAATAGTGACTATGCTATCGCCTTTTTTTATCCAAACTTCCTGTTTATTCATGTTATTTCTAAGTTCAACTTAATCCCTATTTACACTATCATTTTTTCATATCCGAACTTCCTGTCTATTTTGTCATTTTTTAATTTCTACATATTTAATCCCCAATTGCATCAACAGTTATTCGTCACATTAGTTATGATCCCACTAGATATTTTTATGCAAACATCGTGTCTATTTTTTCGTTATTTCTACATTTCTAACCCCTAATTCCACATGTCAGTCTTCTCAGTAATTGTGATGCTACTTTGTTTGAGTTTTATCCCTCCCCTTGTTTATTATGGCATTTTAATTCCTAATTGCAATTTTTTAATTTGCCCCTTGACCGGAAATTATTCTGAACTTTCCCACCCATTTATTGTAAGTACAGGAATGTACAGCTGTCTAGTTGATGACTTCGTCGAAAAGAAAATTTTCTTCGTTGAAACCGTCTTCTTGATAATTCCCATAATCCAGTGTGTATATTGCGTGAGTTTTAAATGCGTCGGTGGTTCAGTGGTGGAATACTTGCCAACCACGCAAGTGATCCGGAGTTCATATCTCGGCTAAGGACGCACTTCTAAAACTCGCCTAGCTCGGTAGTGAGCTCAATAGAGGAAAAAGATTAGGCATGGTACCAGTAAGCTTATTCCGTAGAGGCGAATAACACCATTGCTACTGAAACACTGAAGCTCAATATCTTGAAGCTCCGCGTTCCACACAGAACGCAAAGGAATAAAAAGAAAAATATTAAATATCTACTCTTATGCTTCCGTCTTCACTGGGTTTACTATCGGATAAGTAAGGTTTACAAGTACGTTGGCCGGAAATTGAATGGGGGATGGTGTGGGTGGTGGTTGGCGAGTGTTCTGCTGTTGAACCACTGACTCACTCTTATACTAGTATGACAATATTTGCTTACTGTCTTATCTATTTTACTCTTATTTATTCCCTTAAGGAGGAATTACGTACGTTCACTGAACTGTCAGCTATACAAACTAGACGAGAACAGGAGCGTTCAGCTTTAATTTCCAGTGTAACAGATGCTGAAAAGAATGCTACTAAACTTATCCAAGATATCCTAACTATTAATACATCTGCTAAGTCTAGAGAGAGACTTGAAGATATGATTAATTCAAATCAATTCGATATAAATTCAGTTTCATCTTCAGTCTGTTTGAGACGTGATGAAGTATTAGGTATGTTAAAATGTTTTGCCATTTTTGTACTAAATTAAATGACCCGTGTAGAAAAACTGGCTGACTTAACATTTGCCTTGCAAATCTAATCTTGTTCTTTATGCTGACTGAGTTGGTGCAGAAGATTTCCGCAATGGTATCAGGTTTACGAAGGTGTATCTTGCCTTTCCAATTCTAGCTAGTTTTAACGTACTGATCCGTTCCGCCTATGGATGAAACGATGCTTCCTAGATAAGTGAAGTATCCAATCTCTCCAGTTGATGGTGATTGATGCTGATTGTTGTGGCTGTTGCAGTTGGTTAGTTATCCTCATCACCTCTGTCTTCTCTGTGTTCACTTGGAGTCCTGTTTTCGCTGCTTCTTCAGCCAGAGAAGTAATATAGAAACTACTTCCACACTACGGCGTGCCCCGGGTCTTTATCGACCTCAATCAGTTGCTGGCTATATGACAACGACACGTGTTAGGTGATCCGCAAAGAAAACTCAGCAAGGCATTGGAAGTGAATACAGAAGTAAGAGAAGTCTGTCTGCCTATTATCACCGATGATATTCGTAATTGTGATGAGCTGGATTATGCGTCGGACTCCCTGGGAAAAAGAGAAGACAGGAGTACTCGGACCGACGATAAAACTCTAGAAGATCTGTATTTCGCATATGGATGGTGTATTTTTAATGTCACACAAACTGGAGAACTTGCAGGCGAAAACCAACAAACTGGTGAAGAAATGAAATGATCATTACCTTCAGATAAATCGTCTATAGTTATTTCCTGTATAATTATTATCACTATTCCCCTGGGTCTCGAGTAGAACATACGGCTACATCAACACATCTCTGTTTCACTCTATTGTCTGCAGTTCTTTTTAGCTGGTACAACAATTATCCATAAGTCTTCATTTCTTTGTCCATCACACCATCTCTTCCATGTTAACTTCCGACGGTCATCTCATCATTCTGGTTCCCCTTGAAAAGGCTTAATGGCGTATCATATCACTCAACGACTCCCCAGCATACGTTCAATTCACCTCCACCTCTTTTTTCTGTATATTTGTTGAACAATAGGTGCTCGGTGGGTTCGTCGCCTGATAGAGTTCCTTGTTGCTAACCCACCCCCCCACCAGTATCTGATTTTCAGTATGCAGTGAAGAAAGCTGTTGATGGAAATCTAAAATCTGCTGGAAGTGCTTTTCTAGACGCGTAAAATCTCTAGATAATCATTTCCTTGGTGAGCGGATGTCTAGGTTTCACAAGTAGATACCGTTATAAATTAATGTTAGCATGAAAAGCCATTGGAAATGCCTGACTACTGGATAGTTGTTTCATCCTTGTTTAGAATCTTCAGGAGTACAAAACTACAATTATTTGAAAGTTCGAGTCCAGTACTCTCAAGTTATTCGGCGAGCTAGTTAACATCCAGACAATTCATCGATTGGAACCCGGAGACTGACGGTCATCAATTCTTGATATAGCATCACAACCGCTTAATGTCACCATTTAGTATGAGTATGACTTACTAGGCCTTATTGGTAATGTGGTGAGAGCAGGCTGCTAGCCGATTGGTCGGCACTAATCTACGTTAAGGTCTAGGTCACTAATATGGGCCGTGAACAAGCCTGAGTCAACAACCAATCACAGCAAAGTTAACGTGGCAGAATATGATTCGCAGAGAGAACTCTATTTGTCAAGGAATCCCGAAACAACCAATCAGAAGCCTGCGTTTGTCTACCTAAACAACCAATCAGATGACTGCGCTTGTCTATAATAATGTAGTTGAAAGATGTATAAATACGTGTTGATTTTCATAATAAAACGATCTGTTGCCTGGCCCTTGTCTTCTGTTGTTACAGTAACAGCCCCTCACTAGAATTTTCTTGAAATCCATTTCAACACAAGTTGCTAATGAGAAATAAATTGGTGTTTATATGTTGGATTCCTGTGGAGTGGTAATTAATCAAGAAAATTAATGTATAACAATTAAGAAAAGGGTAAAAATAATTGCAAAAATGAAACGGTTGGATTACATAGTGCACAATTATTTTTTTAAATTTGATTATAGCTTGACTCCACACAGTATTTTTGGTACAGGTATGGGATTTTCAGCATGTGATATTGGTAGCCCAAAGTTAGTAGATCGACCATTGATATCGGTGTGCGTCGGCCGAGGATCGATCGCCGGACTATGTGAATAGTTGGCGAGCAGTCTACCGTTGTGGAAGAATAAGAAGTAATTAAGAAATAGATTAGTGTTCGAATTGATTACGCAATACGCAATTAAAGATAAAATAGTCAGAAAAATAGTAAAATAATCTGAATAATGATAACTTGTAAAAAGGCTTAAGAAAAGGTATAAATTGTTAGTTTTTCTATTTTTATGTGAGGATGGTCAAGGTAAGAAAAGTGACCACAAAATTTTGTTCTGAACATATAGAACTAGCTTCTTCAGGTGGATGATTCTGATGGCTTCCATTGTATTATTGAAGACGAGCTCGTAAGGTGAGATTGGTATTAGTCGGATTGCGATAAGTAACTTTAAATGCTGTATTAATATCTACTTTATGCTCATTGTCTATAAGGTGTACAAAACAGAGTTACAAATCGATCTTGTTTATCCCTAGTTTAACCATGCAGGATGATGTTCGGAATTACGATAATGAACCTGCGTAATTGTGTGCGCCCAATGTGCACTTCCAGATGGAGAGTTTTTATATTGAAATAAGAAAGAGGTGATGGATTGAACATACATCCTAGGAAGACTGTTGAGTGACATCAAACGACAGAAGGGCTCTCGGACGGAAAACAATGAGTTGGGTTCGAGAGTGACATGGAGGAGATCGTATGAGGAGGAGACGCGAACATATGGGTGATCATGGGACCAACTAAAAGGAGGCCGCAGACAACAGGATGAAATGGAGGTGTATTGTATATATATATATATATATATATATATAAAGAGAGGTAGAAGATGGAAGTGATCAGCACAGCTAACCATCAACAGCAACAATCACTATCAACGGAATTTCACCTATCTAGGCAGTGTAGTTCCAACTACAGGTGGAACGGGTGAGGACATCAAAGCCAGCCTGAATCGGAAAGGCAAGACAGACCTTCATCCACCTGAAACCAGTTTAGGAATCTTCTGCACTTACTCAGCGGCATAAAGAAGGAGATTCGGATTTCCAAGACGAATGTGAACTCAGTCAGTTCTTCTATATGGATCAGAAACTTGTTGCCTGCGTCACGAAACGCATTTCCAACAGGCTACAGCAGATTCCATATTAGTTTGTTTATTAGATGTATCACACAGTGATGGAACAGTATTATTTTCTGGATGACACAGTTTCGAACAAAATTTATTGTTCATAATCACATCAATCATGTCAATTGTAATCACACGACTTCGAAACTTGAGTTTTATAGTTTTCTTTGTCCTCTCCTATTTGTCGTTGTTGGGGTAGTAGAATATCCCGGATATCCGACTGGACAGGTGTTGAATCATTCCTATTACACGTATTCTCTTCAGTTGATTAGATAAACAAGGCTTCCGTCATCAATCGCTCGCTCCTCCCTGGTGTTACATTAGATTTTAAAACTGTCATCTTATCCCATCCAGCCTATTGTATGATTGTGTGTAATTGCATGTGGTGAGTGGTATAACTGAACTATTCTCCAGATTTCTTATCTTATTAGGGTCAATTAATCTGGATTCTGCTAGACTTTTATGATCTGCTAGGTTAACTGACCCTGTTCTAATACTTTGACCGATGTATTTGACCTGACAATCATTGCAGGCAGGGTATTAGATAAACTAAATTGTTTTGTTTTAAGGCTCCCCACAGGATTGATCCTCTAACCGACAAAGCTTTTTTCTAATTGAGTTTGTGCGTTTGAATGCCAGCCACTTTTACTCCTGCCTTGTTAAGTATTCTGCGTAAGGTTTCCGAGGTTCCTTTCTTGTATGGAGTTGCTACTGATGATTTAGATTCCTTATTGTTGGTGTAATCTTGCGTATATTTGACTTGCATGTCGTCATCTAGATTACTATTATTATCACTATCAATACTATCATTATTTACTTTATTTTTACATTTCCATGCATAATTTCTGACTAATTTATCGGGGTAATTATTAAATTTCAAAGCTCCTCATACATGGCTTATACATCTAATAAACAAACTAATATGGAATTACTTACTACCACAGTGGGCAAGTTTTACACACATATATTAATAAGGCTACAGCAGACTTATATTAACAACCTTCTCCCCTACATACTGAAGATCGAATGACACGCTCTGGAAACGAACCAACTTTAAACGTTTCGCGCAACAAATATTCCGAAGAAAATGGACACTCTGAGATGACCGTTAATTGATGTTGTACGCCAAACTAGTATTTGAGTCAAACCCGAATGGGAAACGATGTTTTGGGGGTGCTTTTAAGGGTGGAGAGAATCAAACAAGCCCTGGATGAAAAACTTCGACCGGAACAGGCTGGATTCAGGAGAAACAAGTCGAGATCAAATCGCCACACTATGAATCATCATTGAACAAAGCTTGGAATGGCAGTCACCTCTCTATCTCAACCTCATCGACTTTGAAATGGCATTCGACAGCGTCGATCGAGAGGTCATTTGGCAACTACTTCGCTTCTACCAAGGGGGGCAGCCAAAAATTACACATCTTATCCAACAGTTGTACGACAATGCTGCATGCCGAGTAATCTTCAACGGTAAACTTACGGAAGCCTTCGAAGTGAGGACGGGAGTGAGGCAAGGCTGCCTGCTATCGCCAATGATTTTCCTGATTGCAGTAGATTGGATAATGCGCCAGACAACGGGCAATGAGTAAACAGGCATAAAATGGGCCGACAAAAAGAAACTTGGAGGATCTGAACTTTGCCGATGATAGATGTATGATTTCCCACAAACTGGAAGATATGCAAGTGAAAAGCAACAAGTTGGCAGAAGAAGCATCCAGGGGAGATAGGAATTCAGGTGAACATAGAGAAAACAGAGGTAGGTGATGAAGATTCCTGGCCAACACAAACAGCAACAACAACAGATAACAATCAGCCAGTATAAATAGGAGGAACCTGAAAGAAACAACCTCCTTTACCTACCTGGGAAGCACTCTTTCAACTACACGCAGGCAGAACTGACGAAGATATAAAAACGAGGATCGGGAAAGCAAGACATGCTTTCATTACTCGCAAGTAAGTGTGGAGGTCAACAGCACTAGCATGAAAAGGATAATAAGATCCGGATTTTCAACTTCAATGTAAAGTCAGTGCTACTTACTATACGGATGAGAGACTTGGGGCGTCATAAAGAGCACCTCAAACAAACTACAGACCTTCATCAACAGCTGTCCTCGCTCAATAGTACTCAAGATCGAATGGCCAGCCAGAAAAGATCAGCAAGAGGAAAGGGTCTCTGTGAGCAAACCAACCCAACAGGAACCGACTGTGCAACAACTAGGCAGGAAGAAATGGAGGTGGATTAGCAATCCTGTGAGAAAACAAACCATCAAGTGACATCACTAGAGAAGCCATTGTTCGAGTGGAACCCGAAAGGGAAGCGGTGAGTTGGTCGTCAGTGCAAGGGTGACTTCGAGGATGTTATGAGAAGAGGAGATGAAAGCGTGTGGGCAGACTTGGACCGGGGTAAAAACGTTGGCAGAGAACCGAACGCAATGGAGACGCGCGGCTGAAGCCCTATGTTCTTCTAGGAATTAATGGAAATAATAATAATCAAGGACGACATAAAGGAGATTAACGAGGAGGGAATAAGAGCCTATGGTCATTTGTGTGGCCAGCTGAATAGAATCTCTAAAAATAGGATGAACTGGAGATGTGGGCTGTTGAGGCCCTATGTATTCCACTTAGAATCCAAGTGTGTAAGGGTGGCGGAAACATCAATAATATGTCATAGTTTATCGTTGTTAGGCAGTAGTAATAATAATTTGCCTTCTCTACATCTTTGTAAATTCATCTTTATTTTCAAATGTCATAATAAGTATCTGGTATCTGATATTCTCCTGTGTTTATATCTCATATACATACTGTTTTTCAGGTTATTTTTAGGCCTTAAGTTTTTATAAAGTCAGAAATGTACTTTGTGTTTTGTTTCTTTTTGTCTTCTTCTTGACAAAAAATCTCTCTCTGCCTGTATCTTTTGTCTCAGCATCAATGCAAGAAATGCTATCAGTGACAGATAGCGCTTTTTTAAATCATACGGTGAATTTAAATTCAACAAAACTACAAAGTCTTTCTGGTGAAAATTCAAATGGTCAATATATTCAACAAATTTTATCTAATAAACATGATGATCGTAACAAACTGGCATCTAATCTTCTACTTGAAGTAAGTATATGAACTTGTCTAAATTTCTTTTTTTTTTTGAAATTTGAACTTTTCAAGGTAAAAATATCAGTGTGTGTGTGCGAGCATTTTGCATCTTGTTTTGCGACTTGTTAGTTGGATGTACCCCCATTCCTCGTTTCGTGGTGGTGTTCTCTCTGAGATAAGTATAAAACTTGGGCACTGTGATGGTAGTGTATAACTCCATTATGGATAAGATTTTATTTGAACAAGACATATAAGCGAACAATATTGTTTTCAATTAGATCTTCTTCAGGCTTTACTCTAATTTACATAGACTTATATATATAAAATTTTAACCAATGACGGTGATTTAGTGGATCAAATAATAATAGTAATCATAATAATAATAATAATAATAATAATAGTAATAATAATGTGGTAAATGTTTTGAACGAAGTTAATAACGATGATTATAATAATAACAAAATATTGTTAATAAGGCTTATATAGGTGATAAGAATAACAAAGTTAGTATATGCATATATGTAGACAATTCAATAAATAAATAAATTAGGTCAAATCAAATGGAACGATAATCAGAGTTTAAATAAATATCATAAAAGTACGAAGGAGAGGGATGATAAGAAAGGGTGGGAGGGTTTTGAATAGAATTCACCTAGGCCAAGGGAGAGACAAAGGTAGAACAAATTTCTTTTGTATACAAAGACTAGGATTGTTCTCTCGAATTCCCATAGCTTCGGCTAAGTGTAAAAGACGGGTTCTGATTCCGTTCGAAAGGCTTGATGGAATGCGGTAAATAACTTTGAAAGCACTATTTTTGTCCACTTGGTGACCACTATCAATCAAATGTGCCAAAATAGAACTTCGTATGGACTTTATTTGACCTTTTCCGAACCATGAAGGAAGATGCTCATTAATGCGTTTGTTAAGCTGCCTAGTTGTTCGGCCTATATAGCTTTCTCCACAGGAGCAACTAAATTTATAAATACACATGGAAGTGGCACAACTCGGTAACTTATCTTTCACTTGAGCAATCAAAATTGGCCGGCTGGAAAATGACAAACAGAGGGTGGCGGCAGTATAAGTCCGTTTTATCGCTCTCGATAATCTCTGATGTAAGACTTCACTAGCCACGTCCCCATTAAATTGCAGTTTGATGAACAGTTGTTTCTTTTTAACTGTTATCGGTTTCTCTTTATTGTACTTCGCATTCATGTGTCTCCTGACAAATCTACTAGGATAACCCATTTGGACTAACGTATTTTGGATGTATCCTAGCTCATTCTCTAGAGAGTCATCTGTACAGATGCGTCTTGCTCTATTCGTCAGGCATCTGACCAAATTGATTTTGTAACGGATTGGTACATAACTGAGGAAATGTGTATATTGTCCTACAGATGTAGGTTTTCTATAGACATCTCTCTTTAGTGAACCATCCTCTCTTCTGCTCAATTGGACGTCAAGAAAATGTAGTCCACCATCATATTCTTCTTCACAAGTGAAGATAAGCGATGGATGTGCATCGTTAAACTTTTTTAACATTTCATTCTTGTCAGCTTTCACATCAAGAATAATAAAGGTATCATCAACATAACGAAAATAAGAATCAGCTTTTTCTATTACTTTTTTCAATGGACCATTTTCAATCTTGGCAAGAAAGAAATCTGCTAAAATTGGCCCCAACGGAGAACCCATGGCAATACCGTCGATTTGCCTGTAGTAAAGGTTGTTAAATATGAAATGTACATTCATAGTACATCTTAAAAGCAACTCTTTCAGACTACTAACCGGTATTCCGATGTCGATCTGTTTTTCTAGTATCTGTTGGCATATGAATTCCACAGTCTCCATAAGTGGTACATTGGTAAACAGTGATGCTACATCGAGGGAAAGCATTTGCTTTCCATTTACATTAATATCATCCACGTTAGCAATAAATTCAAAAACATCTTTAACACTATGATTTACTACCAACTTGTGTAATGGTTGGAGGAGTTCACCTAGCCACTTTGCCACTCCATGGTAGGTAGAGTTTGACATATCCAGGACTGGACGAAGAGGAAGTCCTGGTTTATGTATTTTGGGCAGACCGTACAGACGTGAAGTATTACTTCCAGTAGGTTTAAGACGGTTATATGCTGCCTCTGAGATTATTCCGCTTTTTCTCAGTTCCTTAAGCGTGTTGGTTAACTGCTTTTCAGCCTTTCCGTCCAGATCTATTGGGTTCATAAGGTTTTGGAACTTCGTTTCATCATTTAGAAGCGAATTCATTTTGTCTACATAATCACACTTATTCATCAATACTACTCCGTCTCCTTTATCAGGTCTACTGATTATAATGCTTTCATCGTTCCTTAACTTTCTTAGGGCTTCTCGATGCTGTTTAGTCAGTAAACTCTTACTAGAATGACTATTGTTTTTATACTGTTGACAGCTGTCGACTAGTGTTGTTTTGAACCTAGCGACTTCATCGTCTGATGTTGGGGTTAAATCTTTCGTTTGTAGGAGGAAGTTTTCAAACTGGATGTTGGTATCGAGTTGGTTGACCTTATACCCTTGGTCACAAAATCTAGGACCCAATGATAATGCTTCTAACTGTAATTTATCTAGTGTTACACTTGAAAAATTATGGACATACCGATACGGGTCTGAAGGGAATGAAGGGGAATCCTTTTCAGGATTTTGACTGTCTAATGATTTGACAAGTTTCGTTCTCCTTTTCTCTGCTCTATTTTGACTAACACTGTCGACATACTCAATGAAATCAATGAGTATGTCGACAGTGTTAGTCAAAATAGAGCAGAGAAAAGGAGAACGAAACTTGTCAAATCATTAGACAGTCAAAATCCTGAAAAGGATTCCCCTTCATTCCCTTCAGACCCGTATCGGTATGTCCATAATTTTTCAAGTGTAACACTAGATAAATTACAGTTAGAAGCATTATCATTGGGTCCTAGATTTTGTGACCAAGGGTATAAGGTCAACCAACTCGATACCAACATCCAGTTTGAAAACTTCCTCCTACAAACGAAAGATTTAACCCCAACATCAGACGATGAAGTCGCTAGGTTCAAAACAACACTAGTCGACAGCTGTCAACAGTATAAAAACAATAGTCATTCTAGTAAGAGTTTACTGACTAAACAGCATCGAGAAGCCCTAAGAAAGTTAAGGAACGATGAAAGCATTATAATCAGTAGACCTGATAAAGGAGACGGAGTAGTATTGATGAATAAGTGTGATTATGTAGACAAAATGAATTCGCTTCTAAATGATGAAACGAAGTTCCAAAACCTTATGAACCCAATAGATCTGGACGGAAAGGCTGAAAAGCAGTTAACCAACACGCTTAAGGAACTGAGAAAAAGCGGAATAATCTCAGAGGCAGCATATAACCGTCTTAAACCTACTGGAAGTAATACTTCACGTCTGTACGGTCTGCCCAAAATACATAAACCAGGACTTCCTCTTCGTCCAGTCCTGGATATGTCAAACTCTACCTACCATGGAGTGGCAAAGTGGCTAGGTGAACTCCTCCAACCATTACACAAGTTGGTAGTAAATCATAGTGTTAAAGATGTTTTTGAATTTATTGCTAACGTGGATGATATTAATGTAAATGGAAAGCAAATGCTTTCCCTCGATGTAGCATCACTGTTTACCAATGTACCACTTATGGAGACTGTGGAATTCATATGCCAACAGATACTAGAAAAACAGATCGACATCGGAATACCGGTTAGTAGTCTGAAAGAGTTGCTTTTAAGATGTACTATGAATGTACATTTCATATTTAACAACCTTTACTACAGGCAAATCGACGGTATTGCCATGGGTTCTCCGTTGGGGCCAATTTTAGCAGATTTCTTTCTTGCCAAGATTGAAAATGGTCCATTGAAAAAAGTAATAGAAAAAGCTGATTCTTATTTTCGTTATGTTGATGATACCTTTATTATTCTTGATGTGAAAGCTGACAAGAATGAAATGTTAAAAAAGTTTAACGATGCACATCCATCGCTTATCTTCACTTGTGAAGAAGAATATGATGGTGGACTACATTTTCTTGACGTCCAATTGAGCAGAAGAGAGGATGGTTCACTAAAGAGAGATGTCTATAGAAAACCTACATCTGTAGGACAATATACACATTTCCTCAGTTATGTACCAATCCGTTACAAAATCAATTTGGTCAGATGCCTGACGAATAGAGCAAGACGCATCTGTACAGATGACTCTCTAGAGAATGAGCTAGGATACATCCAAAATACGTTAGTCCAAATGGGTTATCCTAGTAGATTTGTCAGGAGACACATGAATGCGAAGTACAATAAAGAGAAACCGATAACAGTTAAAAAGAAACAACTGTTCATCAAACTGCAATTTAATGGGGACGTGGCTAGTGAAGTCTTACATCAGAGATTATCGAGAGCGATAAAACGGACTTATACTGCCGCCACCCTCTGTTTGTCATTTTCCAGCCGGCCAATTTTGATTGCTCAAGTGAAAGATAAGTTACCGAGTTGTGCCACTTCCATGTGTATTTATAAATTTAGTTGCTCCTGTGGAGAAAGCTATATAGGCCGAACAACTAGGCAGCTTAACAAACGCATTAATGAGCATCTTCCTTCATGGTTCGGAAAAGGTCAAATAAAGTCCATACGAAGTTCTATTTTGGCACATTTGATTGATAGTGGTCACCAAGTGGACAAAAATAGTGCTTTCAAAGTTATTTACCGCATTCCATCAAGCCTTTCGAACGGAATCAGAACCCGTCTTTTACACTTAGCCGAAGCTATGGGAATTCGAGAGAACAATCCTAGTCTTTGTATACAAAAGAAATTTGTTCTACCTTTGTCTCTCCCTTGGCCTAGGTGAATTCTATTCAAAACCCTCCCACCCTTTCTTATCATCCCTCTCCTTCGTACTTTTATGATATTTATTTAAACTCTGATTATCGTTCCATTTGATTTGACCTAATTTATTTATTTATTGAATTGTCTACATATATGCATATACTAACTTTGTTATTCTTATCACCTATATAAGCCTTATTAACAATATTTTGTTATTATTATAATCATCGTTATTAACTTCGTTCAAAACATTTACCACATTATTATTACTATTATTATTATTATTATTATTATGATTACTATTATTATTTGATCCACTAAATCACCGTCATTGGTTAAAATTTTATATATATAAGTCTATGTAAATTAGAGTAAAGCCTGAAGAAGATCTAATTGAAAACAATATTGTTCGCTTATATGTCTTGTTCTAATATTATAAATGGGAATATTTAAAGATTTTATTTTGATAAATCACACAGTGTAGTGTTATGCAGTAAGTAATATTAACTGATACGACCGCGTTTTGAGCACAAATTGTTGCTACTCATAATCATATCAAGTTAGTCACTCACACAACTTTTTTCCTTCACTTATATACATGAGTGGAATTTATTATTAAACATCTGCATAGAAATCAATATGGTATCATGTATTGAATTGAATTTTTGATTTTCCCGTCGATTGATTGGACCGAAGTGCTCGGTTTCAGGTTGACATGTCGCCTTCTTGTGCAAATGCTTCGACGATGTCTGGGCATTTAATTAGTATACAATTGGTGGATGGTGGCTAGCAATGGAATCCAGGATGCGCATTTCGTCCTATTTGGGACTCGTCATCTGGATGTACCTGCATTTCTCAGTGAGTGATGGTGTTCCCACTGAGGCTCGAACCCAGTGCCCATAGTTTCAAACGCCAAAGCGTTATCCACTAGACCACTTGGGTCACGAGAGCCACCTCTTGTGCAACGGGTCATATTAATTATTGAATTGAATTTTTGATTTTCCCGTCGATTGATTGGTCTAGTGGATAACGCTTTGGCGTTTCAAACTATGCACACTGGGTTCGAGCCTCAGTGGGAACACCATCACTCACTGGGGTATACAGCTACTCCCAGATAGTGAGTCCCAAATAGGACGAAATGCGCATCCTGGATTCCACTGCTAGCCACCATCCACCAATGGGATAATGTACATTCAGAAATGATAATATGAGTGTTATTGATTAAATACAGTCAGATGGGAAATAAGACGAGTGTTTTTATAGTCAAAATAAGTAGCATGTTAGAATGTTGTGATGTGCTTGAATTGAAATAGAATTTTGAGATTTACGAAACAAAATAATCGAGCAAAGAATATTCTTTTCGATAAATTTCTTTTCTGGCTCTACAATTACATATACATGTTTATATACATAGCATATTTTAGAATAGTAATCAGTAACAATATTAGTGTTTTTTAATCGATTTATAAAGTAAGATCAATGGAATTACAGTTTCTATAGTTTGGTTTGTAAGGATTAGTTCATTAAAGATACTCAAATTATAATAATAATAAAGATATAGTAGCGAATAGAATATCAACTGAAATTAGGGAAATTGCACAAAAATTCAGGATAATTCAAACCTAGGTGGCCAAGGTAATGATAATGACTGAAATAACTTCTTTTGGATGCATAAATTAGGCTTCTTAATGTGGATCCTAACGGTCTCAGCAATATTTAGTAGTCGAACTCTTAAGGCAAAATTGAGATTCGTAGGTATGCGGTAAATGACTTTGAAAGTATGGTTAACGTCAATCTTGTGTTCTGTATCCACAAGATGAGATAGAATAGTGCTCCGAATAGATTTTGTTTGTCCTTTTCTTAACCACTTAGGGTGATCTTCGAAAATCCTACGAGAAACACGCCTAATTGTACGGCCTATGTAACTGGCTCCCTCCACAGGAGCAGTTAAATTGAGATTATTTATAATCCTCCTCTGATTTGACTGGCGGTAATAATATCTTCCATATTTCTGGTATTTGCATTGAGTCATTTCTGTAGCATGTGTTGTGTGTAAACTCAATGAATCAGGATTCAGTAATCAACCTCTCTCTCCACCTACCTATATCAATTTTTAGAATTTTGACCCTATCCCACCCTATTGTGTGATTGTGTGTTAATGCAGTGCAATTGCTGAACATTTTTCTAAATTACTTAGCTTCTCGGGGTCAAACATTCTTACCTTAGCTAAATTCTTATGTTCCGATAATCTGACTACTCCTGATCTACTAGTTTGACCTATATAGTTGACCTCACAGTCACATTGTAGGGTATTTTGTAAATTATATTATTTTGTTTAATGGGGTTCACAGAGACTCAGTACCCATACTAATACATGTTTATCAGTTGATTTTTCTTTTGTTGTCACTATAAAATGCAGGTGGAAGAATTGGTAACCCAAACAATAAAGTTTCGAACGGCTATACAGTTGGACGCGAAGTTCGCTTTCCTGCGTCCAAATCACAACGAATCGCTTTCGGCTGTCACATAAGCAGTTCTGTTAGTTGTCTTCTATTTTATCCATAACCTTAACTAGTGATGTGAGGTGTTGTTCGTTCAACGAAAACACATTCTTATGTCACAGGCTTGTTAAGAGATTTGCTTTATTTCTTCCGAAGAAGTTCGAACCAGTTTACCGAACGAAACGTGAGAAGAACTTATTTCGATTTTGACATATATCCATTTTTCACTTAGTGTCCAATTTATCATGGATGATACTTCATCCGTTCACTTCTTGATCACCATCCGCATAAACTGGATTATTGTTTATTTTCTGTTTTGCTGTTGTTTTTTTTTGTTGATGTTGTTGATTTTCTTCAAAACTGCTTCAAAAATATACCTTTTTTTTTCAGGAAAGTGTTCAAAAAGAAGCTTTTGCTCAATTACAAAATCAAAAGGATAGTCAAGTTGTAAGATTAAGACAAGAGATATGCCTTATAGAACAGGAACTCTGTCGACTTACAATAACTGAACAATCACGTGCTAGTCAACGCAGTAAAGCTAATCAACGTGTTCTCGACGAGTGTAGATCTGAATTACTTCACTTGTTAACTCAACTGATAGATGAACAACAGAGTCGACAAAAGGAATTACGTAAACGTTTAGTAAGTTTTATTGTTTATACAAGTTCTCTATGGTTGGTTTATAAGGGTTAGTTTAGTTTTTTTACGAGTTGATCACGGATTGATATCAGTTAGATAACCATTGAAAACCAACTGGAAGTACTTCCAGACATCTGTTTCGTCACACTAGTTTGGGACTCTACACAGTACGCACCCACCGGGGTTCGAACCCAGGACCTTCTAGTTACAAGGCGAGATAATAAAACATTAAGCCACTGGGACCCGATCCAATGGCCCATGAATTCCAACTTCTGCCAATTCACGACATAACGTTGTGGTGAGAGCAGGCTGCTAGCCGATTGGTTGGCACTAATCTACGTTAAGGTCTAAGTCACTAATATGGGCCGTGAGAAAATATGAACAAGCCTGAGTCAACAACCAATCACAGCAAAGTTAACGTGGCAGAATATGATTCGCAGAGAGAACTCTATTTGTCAAGGAATCCCGAAACAACCAATCAGAAGCCTGCGTTTGTCTACCTAAACAACCAATCAGATGACTGCGCTTGTCTATAATAATGTAGTTGAAAGATGTATAAATACGTGTTGATTTTCATAATAAAACGATCTGTTGCCTGGCCCTTGTCTTCTGTTGTTACATTTGGTGTCGCTGCCTACCGACAAATGAAAAGCCTATACCCTGCAGTTTTTGATGGAGACATATGGATCTTCGGGCAGGACTTCAAGGCTTCTGCGCAGTTGAGTGGCGTTCAAGATCTGTCAGCGATGGAGCTGCTACTTGAGACGCTGCTGGGAGGTCGGGCGAAAGCAGCATATGAAGGTGTGGGCTGAAGTATGGACGAATGTTCGACAGGGTCAGGCAAACAGTTTCCAAAGTGGGAAGGACCATATATGGTCACTTCGAGATGGGGTCACGCAGACACAGTCGCCACGGCGAACAATGAGAGGCGCGTGAACGTCAGCGAGCTCCAGAAATGGATACAGCGAGACAAGCCAACGATGACGCCTGCACCAAGTAGATCAAGCCGACTTCAGTCGCACGTATTTGACGGGGGGACGAGTGTGGTGAGAGCAGGCTGCTAGCCGATTGGTTGGCACTAATCTACGTTAAGGTCTAGGTCACTAATATGGGCCGTGAGAAAATATGAACAAGCCTGAGTCAACAACCAATCACAGCGAAGTTAACGTGGCAGAATATGATTCGCAGAGAGAACTCTATTTGTCAAGGAATCCCGAAACAACCAATCAGAGGCCTGCGTTTGTCTACCTAAAAACAACCAATCAGATGACTGCGCTTGTCTATAATAATGTAGTTGAAAGATGTATAAATACGTGTTGATTTTCATAATAAAACGATCTGTTGCTTCGCCCTTGTCTTCTGTTGTTACAACGTGACCGCTAGCCAACGTCTTCGGCGAGTATTTATCCTCACACCCAACCTGCTGTACCCTACTGATCACGACTTCCCACTAAAATCCCAGGTAATTACCCACCTGAATAAGGCCAGTCACCAGTGAGCATCCCATCCATATTCAAGTATTGTTTATATTTGACTTTATTTGAGTTCAGACAACCAATCGAATTTACTCATTTATGGTTTAAATTTCTGAGATTTTGTACGTACAATATACTGTGCATTCTGTCTAATAAACATATCGTTACGATAATTATTTTTCTTTATATGCCAATGGGAATTGTCTATGAAATAAAAATCCCTTTATTCTCAGCATGTGAACTTGTAACTATGACAAAACAGGAGTGACAAATTTTGAAGTAATAACTAAATGATAAGGTCGGTGGAACAGTGGTTAGGACTCTCGCCGAGCATGCACATGGTCCGGGGTTCGATCCCCTTCCGACGCACACCTGATATTAATGGTCGGCCTGCAAAATTTGGGCTACCGATATCACATGCTGAAAATTCCATACCTGTGCAAAAAATACATTGTGGGATCAAGCTATTATAATTTCCTTTAATTCCTAGAGGAACATAGGGTTTCAGCTGCGCGTCTCCATTGCCTTCGGTTCTCTGCTAGAGTTTTCATCGGTCTCCAAGTCTGCCCACATGTTTTCATCTCATCTTTACATGACCTCCTCCGAGTCACCTTTGGACGACTAACTCACCCCTTCCCTTTCGGGTTCCACTCGAGGGCCTGTCTAGTGATGTTACTTGCTTTTTTCCTCAGAGTATGGCCAATCCACCTTCATTTCTTGGTGAAAGTCTGTAATTAGTTCGAAGTGGTCTTCATGACACGTCAAGTCTCCGATCCGTATAGTAAGTAGCACTGACTTCACATTGGAGTTGAAAATCCGGATCTTATTTCTGATGCTGAGTGCTTTTGACCTCTTCACAGACTTGAGAGTAATGAAAGCTTGTCTTGCTTTACTGATCCTAGATTTGATGTCCTCATCAGTTCCGTCCGCATGTAGTTAAAACGATTCTTCCCAGATAGGTAAAGGAAGTTGTTTCTTTCAGGTTCCTCCCATTTATGCTTACTTCTGCCAACTTGTTGCTTTTCACTTGCATATCTTCCAGTTTGTGGGAAATCAGACATATATCATCGGCGAAGTCCAGATCCTCCAAGTCTCTTTTTGTGTGGGTCCATTTTATGCCTGTTTCCTGTGGACATGGAATCAAGCTGTAATCAAAATATATAATTAACGGCAAATTTATCGACAAACACCAGCTTTTGCAAGGCTCTAGGAAAATTGTTTAAGTCAATGAAAGTCAAGTTATCTACAGTGTTATATAAATAAAGGACGACTGCTCTCCTGATGTTAACGTGCGGTGACACTGAGTTACTTTAAAAGTTCTACCACCTTAGTGTGACTATTCTTTCCTGTGTTCTTTTTCATCTTGACGTTTAATATTGTTTTTGGTATTTTTTTTTTCAATTTACCTATTGACAGGAAGAGATGGAACAACAGAAGAAAGATGACCAGCTAGACTTTTGGTTAGTACAATATCAGCGGATATTGGATTCTAAACCTGTAGAATTATTTGGTAAAGTAAGTTTTTTTTAAGGATGAATTGTTTACCCGGTCACATTTGGCTATCTGTCACTGTGTTGTTGTGTTCTGCTATATTCTGTCCGTCTGTCTGTTTTCGACATAGAACTTTTCACTAATGCGCAGCAGTTCAAGTCGCCACACTCCCTCCATGCAGCACACAAAGAAAGTAGAAGAAATACATAATAGAGACAGTAAACAGAGGTGTGAGACAAAAGAATATTAGTAACGAAGAACAATATAGTATTATTGGAAATCATAAGTCACAAGGAGTGGATGCATCTGCAACAGCTATTGAAAACGATTTTGAGCCATATCACCGATTGTCTTCAGCCTTCATTGGTTTTTACCGTCCCGAGGACCCCAACCAGTCAGGAAGTCTACACCTTCCTACATGGCTTAAACTAACTGTTGTGGATTTCATTGACTGATGAAGCCATTTTTTGTTTGACCGCTTTAGCTATTTTGCAGCCTGACTCTATGTCGGCTAACATTGCCCGTCGAGGAAGGTGATGACTAGGCATACGTAACACATGTCCTAACCATCTCAGTCGATGTAACTTCACAGCCTCCTCTATCGACTTCACCTCCTTACCCATCACTTGACGCCTAACCTCACGATCACCGTTGTCTTCTATATTCACTTAGTATGGTTTTATTTTCAATCTTCAGAATATCGATCCCAAGCAGACAGTCTATCTGTCTGTCTGTCTGGATTCAACATAGAACTTGGCACCGAAGTGCAGCAGTTCGAGTTGCCACCTTCCAAATAGCACACAGAGGTAGACAAGAAGATGAGTGAAGAGAATCAATAGAGTTTGACAAATATAAGAGTGAAACAGAATGGGTAATGGTAGAAAGGAATATGAAAGATTACAGAGATTGAATACATCTGCGCCATTGACAACGATTTTGAGCCATGTCACCTATTGTCTCCAGCCATTGATTCCTAGAGTCCCGAGGGCCCCAACCCGGGAGTCTGCATCTCCCTACCTGACCGACTCAGTTTAACTGTCAAGGATTTCATGGATTGATGCCATGTTTTTGTTTGGCCACCACTGGCTCTTTTCCAACCTGAACCTATATCAGCTAACAGTGCCCGACGGGGAAGGCGGTGGTTAGGCGTGCGCACCACGTGACCTAGCCATCTTAGTCTATGTAACTTTGTAGCCTCGTCGATTGATTTCCCCTCTTTGCCTAACACTCTACGCCTAACGTCAACATTACTTACCTTATTAAACCACTTAACGTGAGACAGAGATCGCAGACATCTATGATCGAAAGCAGTCAACCTTTTCATGTCTTCAACGCGTATTGGACATGTTTCAGAGCCATAGAGAAGGACGGAGCGAACTGATGAGCAGTACACACGTCCCTTGGTTGATAACCGGATGTCACGCCTACGCCAGAGATGGTGTAAGTCAGCGAAAGCAGCTCGAGCTTTTCGGATCCGTGCTGAGATTTCATCACCAATCAGTCCGTTGGTGCTAATACAACTTCCCAAGTAGGTGAAGTGGTCAACATGTTCTATCACTTCACTCCCTATCACTAAGTTAGGGGTTGACGTCGTCCAGTCCAGTAGCAGCATCTTACATTTTGCAGGGGCGAATCGCATGCCAAACATACGAAGATTGCTGCTCAAGGTGTTCAGAAGACTCTGCATTTTGTCAGCATCCTCCCCTAACAGGACTATGTCATCTGCATATTCTAAGTCCATTAGATTATTCACTGGTAACAAGTCGATTCCTAAGTCACTACGTTCAGTTAAGGATACTTCTATTAGCACAGTCTATACCTGTGTACATGGTTCAAACCGATAGTCAGTGACTCCATCGACTGACTTACTTGCCTAATCTAATACTTTACAACTAACTTGATTATTACTTACCATGTTAGGGGATGTAATGCGGGTCTTTGAATAAAGACATCTACATCTCCAGAAACGTGTGGTGTCTCTATATGGCTTCTACTGTAAGCAATCATGACTCATAATCGTAAAGGTAAAACAGAATTAACTGCTGCACAGTACACATGACCTTTAATTAGTGGTTATATTTCACGTCTCCACCAGATTTATTAGTTGGATTTCCTTCTTTGCTTGTTTATCATTTTTTTTAAAGTTTAAATCCTCTGACTTCCGAGTGGAGAATAATTCTGTAAGATTTGGGCTTTCAGTCCTCACTGGCTCAGTGTGGTGTTTATTTTTCACGAGACAGGGTTGCTAAGATCACGTCCAACCTATTCTCTTCACTAGGTTTATTGCCAGTTAGGCGAGGTTTAGGTGTTCTTCGGCTGGAGATCGAATCCTGGACTATACGTGAGTGGTTGGTGAGTATGCTACTATTGAACTGGCCTACGCAACTTTCTTTACTTGACAATGTTCTAATTCCATTAACTAATAAAGCATTACCCCCTATTAAGGGTCATATGAATGTTTTGTAATTTTTTTTCCAACGTTTCAATTCAGAAGAACTATATCAATTGTGTATTGTTGTTTTTGATGTGGAAGTCAATCAAAGTCCCATCTACGAGTAAAATAAAAACAATAATATTGTCGAACACTCCTGATGGACACTGTTGCTTATTGTCACTTCATATCACAGCTCTTCATAAGCTCGTATACAGCTTCATGAGTTTAAGTAGTAGTATCTTAATTAGCATAATATACTTTTACTGGATTCCCTTGTTAGCCAGACAGACATTAAAGGTATATCCCTCTTGATCCTCAGTTATATGTGTCACCTTCGTTTTAAGAAATATGACATAATGGAACCTGTCGAGGTGGAGGATATTTCAAACATTCAGTCTTATCTGTCAATCAGACCTATGTGTTTCTCAAGTTCTATTTAGTCTTCGGGGAAAATGTAGACCTTAGCATTGTAGATGATATTTTAATTAGTCTGATTCCCTTGCGGCCGTCACAAAAAGATGTCTTCCCTTGGGGATGCTGTATAACCTAGTCCAGTCTGATACAATTATCTCGGATTCTTGTGGTGAAAGCTGTCTACAAGCCAAAATTGTAGACAACCGTTCACGTCAATGTTTACGTCCCGAATCGGCGTCAGGAGAAAAAACCGGGACAAAGCCTAACCTTGAAGAACTTAACAACCAATCAAAGCAGACTTTGCATGGGCCGATACAATTAGCAGATATATCAACGGACTGTCTAAGAAACGGCCACAAACAGATGACAGAATAACCTTCAACAGGAAAACAACCAGTCAATAGGCGCTGCTTCTGTGCTAACAATAACGAATAATAATGTACATAAAAATCTATAAATATCTGTTGATTTTCTCAATAAATGATCTGATGACTGGCCCTCATCTTCTGTCGTTACAATTTCAGTCAGTAATTCTTTGTTATCACCTTTGAAAAATTGTTCAGTGAAACCATCAAGTTTCACTATTGATCTCGTCTTGGACTAGCAACAGTTTCTGAAAGTTAGACAAGATTTAAAGAACTGTTCCATTCAGACTGATGTGTTGTGTTAGTGAACTGTGATGTAGATCGCAGTATTGGATGTCACCGAAGAAAATATGCACAGTTAATGACAATTATTTTTATCTGCTTCAGTTTTATTTGAAGACTATGGTTGTACACGTGCGTCGGTGGCAAGATGGTAGAGTGCTCGCCGACCACACAAGTGGTCTGGGGTTTGATCCTCGGCCACCGAAGCACTCCTTTACCTCGCTAAAGCCAGTAGAAAGAGTGGTAAAGACGGAAGGTTGGGTATGAGGCAGTCTAGCAACCCCATCTCGTAAAAATAAACACCACTGCCACAGAAACGTCAAGCTTCTAACTTGAAGTCCTTTTTTCCACTGGGAATATAAAGGAATAAAAAAAGTTGTTCACTCTAATAGGAGTTATTTTTTTTTGTATATAGTCTTAGTGGGTTGTGTTATAAAACTCAACAACTTTGTTGATACATAAACCTGCATATTTTGAATGTTGACATAACTTATGACAATGTCTTTGTTTTTTTCTTCTAGCCAGATCCTGATGTCCAAGCTATCCTTGATAATGCACATTGTTTGGAATATATGCCCAATTTTCAACGTCATACTATTACATATACAATATTAAGAAATATGACAGACAGTGAACTTAAAGAGGTAAGGTCATGAGTTGTCTCTTTTATATAAAATGCGTCGGTGGTTCAAGGTTGAGAATGCCCATCAACCCCCCCCTCCGGTTGACACACTCTTAAACCCCGTCAAGTTGGTATTTAATTGTGATTTATAGGGAAGGTTGTGCTTGATATCAGTGACCCCACACAGTTATAATGCAGGTGCTACTAAAAATTCAAAGCCTAAAGCTTGAAGCCCTATATTCCACTTGGAACGTAAATTACTGAAATCAACAATAATAATGACTGACTAACCGACTGGTTTCAACGTAGATCTTCGCAAAGATGTGCCTCTCTCCCTCCATGTAGCATATAAAGCACGAGGAGAAAGTAAAGAGAGATTCAAAAGATAGATATAGTTAGCAGAAATATGAGGCATAAAGAATTATGATATTGGATATTATAAATCACAAAGAGTGAATGCATCTGCGCTAGCCATCACCCGGAACGATTTGAGCCAGCCATATCTTTAGTTGTCTCCAGCCTTCATTGGTTTCTTCCATTGATAGTGTAACGACAGAAGACAAGGGCCAGTCAACAGATATTTATAGATTTTTATGTACATTATTATTCGTTATTGCTAGCACAGAAGCAGCGCCTATTGACTGGTTGTTTTCCTGTTGAAGGTTATTCTGACATCTGTTTGTGACCGTTTCTTAGACAGTCCGTTGATATATCTGCTAATTGTATTGGCCCATGCAAAGTCTGCTTTGATAGGTTGTTGAGTTCCTCAGGGTTAGGCTTTGTTCTTGTTCTTTTCTCATGACCCCGATTCGGAAGGTAAACATTGGCGTAAATTGCTAACTACAATTTTGTCTTGTAGACAGCTATCACCACAGTCATACTATACTAGATTTAAACAGACTTAATAGGAGAAATCATATCCAATATATTGATGGAGGTTTTCGGTAGCCGAAGTTTTAAGCCGGCAGGTAACAATTATTCTGTTACACCCCTTACCCAATGGTTGTTAGTCGAATGCTTGAAACCTTAAATCATTTGTTCACCGAAAAGTCTACTCAATTATGATTTAAAGCTTTCACATTTGTTACGTCACTTAGACAGTTTTAGTGACATAAACAGTTTCAATAAAATGTTAGTGCTTACTATATTACAATGACTAGTGTTGAAATGTCCACGGTTGAATCTTAAGCCTTAGAGAATATTAGACGATTTTTTGAACTGTGGACTGTCTGTAATATTTCCACTGTAATCACATGTCGTGTAGGTGTTAGTTTACGTTATGATTCGATAGGCGAACTCAGATGTTTTACAGTATAACGGTTAATTAATTTTGATCCCTTGTGAAATTAATTATTCGAACTGCTGATTGAGTTTCAGCATAGAATTGAGCACACAAATGCAGCAGTTTACATTACCACACTCCATATAGCACACAAAGGTAGGGAAAAGAAAAAAGAGATGCATAGGAATTATTATTGGCTGAAATATGCAAGGGAAAAAGTAGTAACACGGAAACACATAATGGTCTAATGAATATGAGAGATCGGGAAGAATTAGTGCATACATTTGTGCCAATGAGAACTGTTTTGATCCATAACAATAGTCTCCAGCTATTGATTCCTACTATCTCGAAGACTCCAACCAGGTAGTCTACACCTTCTTACGTAGTTCAAACCAAATGTCAAAGACTTCATGGCCGCCCGATTTAGGAAGTGAACACTGACGTAAATTGGTGTCTACAATTTTGGTTATCCGACAGCTCTTACCACAATAGCGCCTCAACCAGGCAACAGTCTACAACCCCCCCCACGTGATTTTTAATGCGACCACCACCTCAATGTATGCCCGATCCATCTCCATTTTGGTTAGCATATTTGTTGAGCGGTCGGCACTTGGTTGGTTTGTTCCCAGCCAGCCAGAGTTTCTTGTTGCTAAGTCTTTCTGATCATTTAATCTTCAGTATGGAACGAAGTCAGTCGCTGACAAAAGTCTGTAACTTGTTGGAAATGCTTTTCGTGATACTCAGTGCAAGTTTCTGACCCGTATATAGAAAAACTGGCCGACTTCACAGATGTGTTGAAAATCCGAACCTTGTTCCTTATGCTGAGGCGAAGTGCAGAGGATTTCTAAACTGGTTTCAGATTGACGAAGGCGTATCTTGCCTCACCCTTCCGATTCTGGCTGGCTTTGACATCTTCCTGCCATCCCGACTGCCTGTAGTTGAAACCCTGCTTCCTAGACGGATAAGTGAAGGAAGTGAAATGACCACTGTCAAATCTCTCCCATTGATGGTGATTGGTGCTGGTTGTTGTTGTTGCAGTTATTATTATTATTATTATCCGATAGTTTGATGAATGTTACTCTATCATTTTCAATTGATGTACACTGAAATCAAGCGTAAGTAGTTATAGTAACACAGTGGGATACAGACAAACCAAGGCGATGATTTCCAAATGGACTGAAATCCCAACTTCGTTATCAGTATTATTGTTATTAGTATCCCTTCCGAGTGCAAAACTGGGCTTAAGCAACACATCTCCACTGTACTTGGTTCTCTCTCATCACTATCAACTGCTTCCACGAATCCCCACAAGTCTTCATTTCCTCTTCACATGGTCGTCTGCAACGTCCCAACCCGTGATATTCAGGACCTGTGGTGTGATGTTACCTAACTATCTCTTCACCAAATGTCCAATCCCTTTGTCATTGTCATCTGAATATTTACTGGGTATTAGATCCTTGGATGGTTTGCTACCGTGCCAGAGTTTCCTGTTGCCTATCCCTTCTAGCCGTTCATCTTATCTTCAGTATCTAGCGAAGGAAGTTATTTCCCTAAAGTCTGGTTTTGATGACACCCGTACTAAGTCTCTCAACCATATGAAAGCATTAACTTGACACTAGACCACTGATTTCAGGGTAATGAAGGCCTGTCTGGCCTTTCCATTCGTGTCTGATATCCTGCACTTGAAACGATGATATCTAGGTCAGATTAATAAAAGACAGATCTCTTCCTGATTTTTTCACTTTATGTCAAATTCTGTACTCATATGCCAATCGTATCCTCCTTTACGACTGTAAGACCTAGCCATTGAAAGTGGAAGACATAGGAAGACTAGCTGTCTTTGACCAAAAATGTTTACGTTTTATCTCCCATGTTAGATGATATGGTAAGATGAGTGTTAAATAAGGTGGGGGAAAACAATCGATGAAGTTGTGAAGCTACAAAGACTGAGATGATTAGGACATGTGTTACGCATGCCTGACCACCGCTTTCCTCGACGTTTAATGTTATCTAACTTATGATTAGATTGGAAAAGAGAGAGCTAGTGGTGGTGAAACCAAACCTCGAAATCAGTTCATGAGATCTTTATCAGTTAGTTTGAACCAGCGATGTAGGGAGGTGGGGACTTTCTTGGTTAGGGTCTTCAAGATGCTAAGAACCAAGGCCGCAGATGGTCGGTGATATGGCTCGAAATCGTTTTCAGTGGTGGAGATGCAGTCATTGTTTGGGATCTCCAGTATCTATCAAGCCCCAATTTTCCCCATGGTCACTATTCTTTCTCCATCACATTTCTGCTTATTATCGTCTTTTCGAGTCTCTTTTCTCCTTTCTTTTGTCTTCCTTTGTGTTCTACACGGAATATGGTAACTTGAACTGCTGCACTTGTGTGTACAAATCTATTTTGAAACCAGTCAGTTGGTTAGTCATATCAATGTTGTGTTATCCAGACAGTATGAACCTGTGAAAAAATAATAATTACTTAAAAATTCATTAATTTTAATTTTTCGTGCTCGCTCGGGAACATCTACCAGTGTGGCTACATAGAGGTGTAGTAAAAACCATCAACAGTTCCATATTAAACCATTTGGTCCAAACCGGCCACAAAGCCAGCCAGCATTGAAGAATCCTTCTCTACCATCTATCGCGTACTAAACAAATTGACAAAGATATCCAGGTACTGCATACTCCAAACACGGGAGACTGTCGTGATTCGCGTGAAACAATCAGTGCTCTGTGTTCAAAAGAAGCAAGTCCACCCCCCTACTACTGCCCTGGCCTTTAGTAGAGGCTATAAATTCATGAATTTGTATTATTATCTTTCCTAATATTTCTGACATTCAGCTTATTTTATGTTGATGCTATTTAGCTGTATTTATTATTATTATTGTATCCTTTAGTTCCTAGAGGAACATAGGGCTTCAGCTGCGCACCTCCATTGACTTCGGTTTTCTGACAACTTTTTCACCCTGCTCCAGGTCTGCCCACATGCTTTCATCTCCTCTTCACATGACCTCCTCCAAGTCACCCTTGGACGACCAACTCGCCGCCTCCCTTTCGGGTTCCACTCGAGGGCTTGTCTAGTGATGTCACTTGATGGTTTCCTCAGCGTATGGCCAATCCATCTCCATTTCTTTCTGCCTATTTGTTTCACAATCGGTTCCTGATTGGTTCGCTCCCAGAGATCCCTGTTGCTGATCTTTTCTGGCCATCTGATCTTGAGTATTGAGCGGAGACAGTTGTTAATGAAGGTTTGAAGTTTGTTTGAGATGCTCTTTATGACTCGCCAAGTCTCTGATCCGTATAGTAGCACTGACTTCACATTGGAGTTGAAAATCCGGATCTTATTTTTGATGCTGAGTGCTGTTGACCTCCACACAGATTTGAGAGTAATGAAAGCTTGTCTTGCTTTTCCGATTCTGGCTTTGATGTCCTCGTCAGTTCCGCCTGTAGTTGAGACGATGCTTCCCAGGTAGGTGAAGGAGGTTGTTTCTTTCAGGTTCTTCCCATTTATGCTTATTGTGGTCTGTTGTTGCTGTTGATGTTGGCAAGGAATCTTCATCATCTCTGTTTTATCTATGTTCACGTGAAGTCCTATCTTTGATGCTTCTTCTGCCAACTTGTTACTTTTCATTTGCATATCTTCCAGTTTATGGGAAATCAGACATATATCATCGGCGAAATCCAGATCCTCCAAGTCTTTTGTGTCAGTCCATTTTATGCCTGTTCCCTCGTTGGTTGCCGTTGTCTGTCGCATTATCCAATCAATTGCAATCAGGAAGATCATTGGTGATAGTAGACAGCCTTGCCTCACTCCCGTCCTCACTTCGAAGGCTTCCGTAAGTTTCCCGTTGTGGATTACTTGGCATGCAGCATTGTCGTATAACTGTTGGATGAGGTGTATAATTGTCGATGGGACCCCGTAGTAGCGAAGTAGTTTCCAAATGACCTCTCGATCGACGCTGTCGAAGGCCTTTTCAAAGTCGATGAAGTTGAGATAGAGAGGTGACTGCCATTCCAAGCTTTGTTCAATGATGATCCGTAGAGTGGCGATTTGATCAATACATGATTTGTTTCTCCTGAATCCAGCCTGTTCCGGACGAAGTTTTTCATCTAGGGCTTGTTTGATTCTCTCCAGGATGATGCGACTTAGTATCTTGCTTGGAATGGACAGAAGCATAATTCCACGCCAGTTTTTACATTGACTTAAGTCTCCTTTCTTTGGAAGTTTGAATAAGTAACTGTTCTTCCAATCCTCGGGTACTTTGCCCTCTTTCCACACCTTCTCCAGTAGTGGTGTCATCAAGTCCGCTGTTGTCTCTGGGTCTATTTTCAAAGCCTCTGCTGGGATTCCATCTGGTCCCGGTGTTTTCCCAGTTTTAAGCATCTTGATTGCATTCAGGACTTCTGATTTCGTCGGGGGGTCAGTGTTCACTGGTAGTTCTGCTTCCGTTGTTGGTATTGCTGGACGTGTTGTAGGTGGCGGACGATTTAGAAGTCTTTTGAAGTGTTCAACCCAGTGCTTTCTCTGTTCCACCTCTTTGGTGATTGACTTTCCATTGTCGTCCTTTATTGGCTTAATCTGTGTCGAACGTTTGCCCGAAAGGTTCCTAGTTGTTTGGTAGAGTGTGGCGAGGTCTCCTTTGCCTGCAGCTTGTTCTGCTTCGTTTGCCATGGTTTCATAATATTTTCTTTTGTCTTCCCTGGCACTTTTCTTCACTCTTTTGTTCAGTGTATTGTAGCTTGCATTCAGCTCCTGTTTTTGTTGCTCGTCCGTGCACTGGATAATCTTTTGCTTCACTGTCCTTCTCTCTTCTATTAGTTTCCAAGTGTCCGTAGTGAGCCACTGTTTGTCCTGTCTCTTTTTTCTGCCTAGAATTTCTATGCAGGTTTGGCTCCACACCGTTTTCAAGTTGTTCCAGTGCTTTTCAACGCCGACCTCTTCGCTAGTGTTGATTTGTGTCTCGGCTTTGTCCTTTATGCTTGCAATGAAGATGTCCTTTGTAGCCTGGTCCTTCAGCTTTTGAGTGTTGAACTTGGCTTGTGGTCTATCTGCAGCTCCTCCTTCTTTGAAAGCTTTTAATTTGATTTGGATTGTCCCTTGTACGAGATAGTGGTCTGAGCCAACGTCTGCTCCTCTTCTTGCTTTTGTGTCCAGTAGGCTGCGCCTCCACTTCCTTGAGATTGAGATGAAGTCGATTTGGTTTTTGGTTTGCCCGTCTGGTGACACCCATGTAGCCTTGTGGATATCTTTGTGCTTGTATACACTGCCACCAATCACCAGTTCGTTGAAGGCGCAGAAGTCGGCGAAGAGTTCTCCGTTTTCATTCATTTCTCCTAGAGCTTCTCTACCCATGATGAGTTCCCTTCCCGTATTGTCTGGTCCCAGTTTGGCGTTCATGTCTCCCATTAGTATTTTCATGTCGCCAGCTGGAGTATTGTCCATTGTTGCCTGTAGTTGCCTGTAGAATTCTTCTTTCTTCTCGAGGTCTGCGTTGTTTGTGGGTGCATAACATTGTATGATTGACACTTTCCTTCCTTTGGAGTTGAACCTGGCGGTCATTATCCTGTAATCTATCAATATTATTGATTCAATGTTAATTAAACAGCAACATTAATGTTGTTCATCATAACATTAATTCACTCATTCATTCACTATATCGTGTATATAACTGTAGAGCCTGATGAAGAAGAGGTTATCGAACAGAGTATTCTTTGTCCAGTAACCATTCTTTTACGGGTTGATCACGGATTGATATCAGTTAGAGAACCATTGAAAACCAGGGAGTACTGGACAGCTGCTGTTTCATCCTGGTTTGGGAATCATCGGCAGTACGCACCCACTGGGATTCGAACCCGGGGCCTTCTGGTTACAAGGCAAGCTCGTATACCATTCAGCCACTGGGACCCGATTCAATGGCTTGTGAATTCTAACTTCTACCAATTCGTGATTTAGCGCGACCCCAACCATTGTCGTTGGTGGGACATCCATCCACACACGTGACATCTAATTGGACCTCACTGGTCACGACTTCTCACTAGAACTCAGGAAACTCCAACCTGTAGCAAGTCACTAGCGAGCATCAGATCAACTTTCTATAGTTTGGTTTGTAAGGATCCTTACAAACCAAACTATAGAAAGTTGATCTGATGCTCGCTAGTGACTTGCTACAGGTTGGAGTTTCCTGAGAACCATTCTTTTGAAAATTTTAATGGGCATATTTTATCAGTTAAAATCATTTTTTTTTTGCTGTTTGTTTCATTTATGGGGAAATAAAACAGATTGGTATACACGAGTTTGAAGTTCGCCAAAGAATCCTTCAAGAAATTGCTGCTTACAAAGTGAAAATTGAACATGATCATAACAAGGTACTTTTGTTATCTTATAGTGTACTTTTTTACTCATCAGTAAATTTCGCTTGAACCTTTTCTTTCAAATATAAAGTGACAATGAATTATTTTAAAAGTATGTTTAGTGCTCAAATGCACAATTTGCAATCTGTACAAAGTTCGAAACTACGGTGAAAATTTCACCGTAGTTTCCTTTTGGAAACCAAGATTATTCAGACCAAAATCGGTAATCAAGAAACTAAGTTTAAATGCATGAAACTACATACTACTGATTGGTTGAAATGAGTAGTTGTATGCCACACACACACATCAACCAGTAGTGCTTGCTAGTCAGAGATATCGAAGTGATCTGAACACTGGACGGTAGTTTTGCTCGTTTGGGGCAGATCTCATTAACCTGTGAACCCGGTTTGACTCAGCTCAGAGAGATTACAGAATCCGTTCAAAGCACTTAATGCCTATCTAGCTAATCCGGTAAACTAGAAACACCTTAAGTTGGTCCGCAATTTATACGGACACATCTACACATTTCAAGAAGGTGGGTGGTGCATAATACTGTGTAAATTGCAAAATCACGAAAAATATTCGAAGTCTTTAGCATCCTAGTTACTTAAGACATAAATTATCACTGCCCTTAAGTATTTAAATCAGTTTAGATCTCCTCTTAGATTGATTGGACCGAAGTGCTCCGTCTCAGGTTGACATGTCGACTACTTGCACAGATACTTCAACAATGTCTGTTCATGTAACTTGATGTCAGTTGGTTGATGGTGACTAGCAGTGGAATCCACGACAACGTGCTTTAAATCCACTGTGGGACTCGCTATCTGGGAGTAGCTGTATACCCCCCAGTGAGTGATGGTGTTTCCACTGAGGCTCGAACCCAGTGTGCATAGTTTGAAACGCCAAAGCGTTATCTACGAGACCACTTGGGCTACGAGAGTCACCTCTTGTGCAACGGTCCATTCAATCGACGGGGATATCTAAATTGAATTAAATAATTAATAAGATCAGTTATATAAGAGGTGGCCCAAATGGTCTAGCGGATAACTCTGGCGTTTTAGACTATGGTCACTGGGTTTGAGCCTCCAAGAGGACTGCAAGTACATCCAGTCGACGGGTCCCGAATAGGACGAAATGTGCATCCTGGATTCCACTGCTAGTCACTATCATCTAGTTGGCTCTTAAGTATATTTGTAAAATATAGTGAGACTTAATCCGTTATCAGATAAATACTTTTGCAATCCATCTCTATGGTGTTTTCCCCAGTTTGTTTACTGAATCGCACATAGAATTTACTAAATAAAAAAAATACAAATAACACATCTAAGATGACAATAAAGTAAATCATCGGAACAGAAATGATTTGTTTTTAAATGTTCTTGGATGTTTAGTGTAAGAAAATCCTAGGTTCTGTGTACTCATCAAAAAGTCGGGGAGATACTCTTGTTCACTCTTCCTAAATCAGCCGGTACTGAAGCCGAACGTCTCACCAATAAGTCATACTTTCTGTGTAGTTCAGTATCATATGATTGTTTTTTTTGTGTGTGACTTTTTATGCGCTTTTGTAACGATAAAAGACGAGGACCTGGTAAAGGAATGTTTATTTGCAATTCGTGTACACTTTATCTTCAACGCACCATTTGCACAGATCTTCGAGTTGTGGTACTTCTGGTCTGCATATTGGCTTTCTTTGTGCTCGTTTCGCGTATCCCGTATATCCTCGCAACGTTGTATCATTTGCTTTCTGTGACATCAAATTTGTCTTCCTGTTATTTGATGTTTTTATGCCAAGGAAAATCTCCTTATATATATACTACTGATAAATCTTTTCAGTAGCACGCGCCACACTACTGTAAAAAAATGCGACTTGAATCGATAGACGTTCATACGATTCTCCTTAGTTTGTGTGACTATTTTTATCAACTGTATGATTGATTTTTGAGCATCTACGTTCAAGTTTAAGTTTGAGTCTATCCTTTTTTTTTATCAAACAAATTCAATACAGACTAATTTCACAAAACTCATTAATGGCAAATGTCTATTGTTGTATAATTCAATCTTCAAAATGTTTTGAGTTTGTATAAATTCTGTTCACCATTTTGATTATCTTTCCATTTTTTTTTATTCACAGCTGACAAATGCAACAGAATCTCCTAGTACTCAACATGTAACACCTTCAGCACCAATAGAACCAATAACAGTTTTTTCTCCGCCTAATGATGAAATGGTTGCTCGTGTAGAACATGAGTGTTGTATATGCCAAGATGCATTAGTGAGTAGTGAGCTATTCTTGTTTTGTTCTTTCTTTCGCTATGTTCCTCGTGATTATTTTTTTTTAGATGTCACTATTCTAAACACACCAAGCTTTCTAATAGTAGTAATAATGATAATTCATGAATAATCCCCATCCAGATATTAATGAAAACGAAACAAGTAGTGTTTAGCGAAAAGGCCTCTTCTCGGAGGATTCGTTCTCTTCTTTTGCCGTAAAACTACTTTTATATACAACATATATATGTATATATTGTGAATATATCAATTTTTTCATATACAATATTGAATAATTGCAGTTCAGATTGTGAATATTTTGAAGCGCGTTACATGTACTTTATGCTTGATTTCTTGTTATTGTCGCTGTTATTATTATTATTATTATTATCACTGTTATTTATATTATTTAATTGAGTCTCTATTCAAGTATTGGTTACCTAGATGTCCTGAATTTCGCGCGTAGATGATTTATGTTTGATGTCACACAAAATCGAAGACTTACAAGCGAAAACCAACAAACTGGCCGAAGAAGCAGTTGGCGAAGACAGGACTCCAGGTGAACATAGACAAGACGGAGGTTATCAAAATAACCAACAAAGCAACGACAACAGCAGCATCAACATCCAGCGCCAATCACCATCAATGGGGAGGGATTTGAAAGAGGTTACTTCATTGATTCACTTCTGTCTGTCTGTCTCTTTTCGACATAGAACTTTGCACAAATGTGCAGAAGTTCAAGTCGCCACATTCCGTGTAGCACGCGAAGCAAGAGAAGAAAGTACAAGAAAAGCATAATAGAAACAGTGAGCAGAGGTGTGAGACAAAGGAGGAGTAATAAAGAAGAACAAAACAGTTTCATTGGAGATCATAAGTCACAAGGAGTGGATGCATCTGCGCCACTGAGAACGATTTTGAGCCATGTCACCAATTGTTTCCAACCATAGATTTTTACCGTCCCGAGGACCCCAGCCTGGAAGTCTACACCTTCCTACGTGGCTTAGACCAACTGTTGTGGATTTCATTGACTGATGAAGCCAAGTTTTTGTTTGACCGCCGCTAGCTTTTTTCCAGCCTGACCCTATATCCGCTAACATTGCTCGTCGAGGGAGGCGATGGCTTGGCATACGTAACACATGTCCTAACCATCTCAGTCTTTGTAGCTTCACGACTTCGTCGATTGATTTCCCCTGTTTACCTAGAACTCTACGCCTAACCTCCATGTTGCTCACCTTATTATGCCACTTTACACGGGAAATAGAACGCAGGCACCTATGATCAAAGACAGCTAGTCTTTTCATGTCTTCCACTCTCAGTGGCCAGGTCTCACAACCATAAAGGAGGACGGAGCGGACTGATGAGCAGTACACCCGCCCTTTGGTCGATAGTCGAACATCTCGTCTACGCCAGAGTCGGCGTAAACTAACAAATGCGAAACGAGCCCCTTGTATTCGTGCTGAGATTTCGTCAGAGATCAGCCCGTTGGGGCTGATGGTACTTCCCAAATAAGTGAAGCGGTCAACGTGCTCTACCACTTCACTTCCTATTTTTAAACTAGGCGTCGATGTAGTCCAGTCCTGTAACATCATCTTGCATTTGGCGGGAGCGAATCGCATGCCAAACATTCGTAGATTGCGGCTCAAGGTGTTTAGAAGACTCTGCATTTCGTCAGCGTCTTCGCCTAGAAGGACTATATCGTCTGCATATTCCAAGTCAACGAGATTATTCCCTGGTAGCAAGTCAATCCCTGAGTCGCTGAAGTCACCTAGGGTTAAGTCCATTAACACATCTATGATGAAGTTGAATAGAAAAGGAGATAATGGGCATCCTTGACGGACACCACTGGTCGTCATCAGTTCAGATGACAGCTCGCCGTAAGCCCTCACCTGGCTGTATGAGTACGAGTAGAGTGCCTTAATCAGTGCAATATATTTTCTCGGAATTCCCTTTACAGCCAAGCATCTCCAGAGAACTTCCCGATCGACAGAGTCGAATGCTGCCTTTAGGTCAAGAAATATAATGACTGTTGGACGCCGGTAGGAATGCCTATGTTCTAGAATCTGTCGGAGGGTGAAGATATGATCAATACACCCTCTTCCTGGTCTAAAGCCTGCCTGGCTCTCTCGTGTTTGTGCTTCCCGAGCACCACTCAGTCTACGCATGATTATTGAGCCTAAGACTTTAGATACTATATTAGTCAAGCTAATCCCTCTGTGATTATCACAGGAAGACTTGTCTCCCTTCTTGTATATGGGGATAATCAGTGACTTACACCAACCCGATGGGACTTCTTCTGATTCCCAGACGCTGCCTAGTACCTCAGTTAATCCGGACAGTAAGCTGTCTCCACCGTACTTAAATACCTCTGGAGTCATTCCATCAGGTCCCGCTGCTTTGCCTAGTTTCAGATTGGTGACAGCTTTAGTAACCTCAGTTAGGGACGGAGGACCTGTGTCTATATCCCATTCAGGGAGGTGTTGGATGCTCGGAAGGTTGAGCGTGGCTGTGGGCAAATTAAACTGCTCCTCATAATGCTCTTTCCAACGATCCAGTCGTCTATCCTGGGAGCTAATTATAGTGCCATTTTTTTCCGAGATTGTCTCACTGATGATTTGTCTTCTCCCACCCGTTTCCCTGATGAGTGTAAAGAGTTGCCTGGTGTTGCCTATCCTCGAAGCTTTCTCCATCTCTTTGGCTTTTGTCGCCCACCACTGTTCACGGTCCTTGCGGAGACTTTTCGTAAGTTTCCTCTTGTGCAGCTTTCGCTCCTCATTGAATTCGGAGCTCGCCGGAATAAGTCTTCTAGCATCTATCAGTTCGGATGAGGCGGTGGAGATCCAGTGGTTTTTACTCACCTTTGGGTTTACCTTATTCACAGCTTTTACAGCTGTATCTATGGCTGCCTGGATATTTTTCCAAGCTTCTTCAGGGTGAGCACAGCTGTCGAACACAGATATGTGTTTAGCTAGTTCTTCCTCAAATACGGATTTAGTTTCCTGATCGAGCTGGGGACGTGATGGTTTTACCGCCAGCTGTTTCCTACGTCCGTTCAGTCGTAAGCACACCCGAGCGCGGACCAGTGCATGGTCGGTATCTACGCACGTGTTCCAGAAGGAGCGACAATCTCCTACCGACCCACGCCAACGATAGCTTATTGCTATGTGGTCTATTTGTGTCCAGCGTTGGTTTGATGAAGGGGGTCTCCAAGTCAAACAGTGTCTCTCCTTGTGTTTGAAGTTAGTGCTTACAAGAAACAAATGATTATCAGAGCAGAACTGTAGGAGACGGTCACCGTTGTCGGTTCGCTGGCACGGAACTCCATAGGTGCCACCGACATCCTTCTCAGATTGACACAATTTCCCTACTTGAGCGTTAAAGTCACCAGCTAGAACGACTATGTCTGAGCGTTTAGCCTTTCCACCAAACTAGACAGCTTTTGGTAGAACTCATCCTTCGTTTCATCTGAACTGCAGTCAGTGGGGGCGTAGGCGGAGATTACGAAAAGGCATCGGCGAGTAGTGCAGTCCTTCCTCCTTCTTACTGATCCGTTCAGGCGGACAGCACACATTCGGCTATCTACCGGGATCCAGTCAAGCAATGTCTTTTCTGCCCTAGTACTCAAAGCTATCCCTACGCCAGCTAATCCTCGTGAACTAGCTGTGGCATCTCCTGACACCCTCAAGGTGAATTTTGCAGATTCAACCTGTTGGCCAGGTGGGGTTAGGTGAATAACCACACTTGGGTCTTGTATGCGTGTTTCTGAAACACAGCATACATCAATGGCTCGTGATGCCAGGGTCTTGGCTAGTGATGCTTGTTGTCCTATTTGGCAAAGTGTCCTAACATTAAGAGCTCCTATATGAAATTGGTGGCGCGGCTTTAAGAGGCTGTCGGTGGTGGTTTTTTGGCTTCCATCGTTTTTAGTGGACGCAGAGTGGAGAGGAAGTGGAGAGCTATCAAGTCGAGGAGTTGCATCAGTGGAAGGAAGGCAAGATGATAGAGATGAAGATGAAGACAAAGATGAGTGAGTAATAGAGAGGTTTCGTGTGCATTTCGGATTGTGAGGGCGATTGTTACTTCCCGGCTGCCCACACCGTGGAAGTTGGTTGCGTGACCGCAGAGCCCAGGGGACAACTGCTTGAGGCCGGTCACACGCGGCCTGTTTTTGTTTGTTCTCTTTTGTTTGGTGTGTCTCAGTAGCATACTTATCACTCCAGCCCTGTGACACGGCAGCAGGAAGCGCGGTCGTTGTTAATCCGGGCCACGGCCGATCCGGCATGAAATTTTGTGATTTTGTATTGGACATGATGTTGGATTGGGTAGCTGCTTTTTGTTTAACCGCTATCCAAACAACCTGCCTGGCATGGTAGGACCTCAAGAGACATAAGTCTCAGCCAGTATAGCTTGATTAGATCATTGCGGTGTTCAAGCCCGACCACCACGTCAAGGTAGCAGCTTTCGGTCGGGATTGATTCACTTATCTAGGGAGCATTGTCTCAACTACAGGTAGTCGGAACGGACGAGGATGTCAAATCGAGCGAGAATCGGAAAGGCGAGAAGCACATTCATCAACCTGAAACAAATCTGGAAATCTTCGTCACTCAGCCAGCATCAACAACAAAATTCAGTCGGATTTTCAATACAGACAGGTCAAGTCAGTCAGTTTTTCTATACGGGTAAGAAACTTGGCGGGCGGGTCACAAAGAATATTTCCAACAGCCTGTTGCAGACGTTACCTTTATCAACAACTGTCTTTGCTCTATACTGAAGATCAAATCGCTGGGCCAAAAAGAATCACCAACAAGAAACTATGGGCACTAAAAAACAAAACAAGAACCAACCAATCGCTCAAAAAATATGTAGGAGAAAGTGGATTTGACACTCACTGAGGAGGCCGCTGGGTGACATCGCGTGCGCGTTAGGCCCATTGGTCGGGTGGAACCAGGCCGAAAGGGAAGCGGCGAGTGGGACGCCAGTGCAAGAGTGACATGAAGGAGATCGTGTGAAGAGGAGTTGAAACAGTATGGACTAACATGGATGCAGGTGAAAAGTACTGCAGAAGGAAGACAGAAGCGGCAAGTGGAGACGTGCAGTTGAAGCCCTATGTTTCACTAGGATCCCAAGGGAACAATTTTTATTATTTATTTTTTTATTTTGTTTACAGCTTGATTCCACACTGTATTTTTGGTACAAGTATGGAATTTTCACCATGGATATCGGTAGCCCAAATTTCGCAGGCCGACCATAGATATCAGGTGTGCGTCGGCGTGGGCTCGAACCCCGGACCATGTGCATGGTCGGCGAGAGTCCTAACCACTGTTTACCGTACACTACAACCACAGTCAATCGTTACAACTATTTAACAACTGCCATCCGGCAATAAAATTCACTCTTGAAATGTGGAAAACAAATATCAAATTCCCTTTCTTGATATGGACCTAACAAGAAGACCCGACTGAAACCTAAGAAGATCAGTCCATAGGAAACCCACTTGGAACGGTCAGCTAGCGAGTTCCTACACTTCGGTGTATGTTGAACGAAAGAAAATCCGACGCATCTGCAGTCCAGATGCCCTAGAAGCAGATCTAGGTCTTCTGAAAGAAAGAAGCCTTCATCGAAAATGGATACCCATCAAGATTCATTGACAAGAATATTAAACCAAAAGTTTAGAGAAGCGAAAAATTGCTTGTTCAAAAAAAGAAACTTTACCTTAACCTGGATTTCAGGGAGAATTAACCTGCGACATCCTTAAGGAAAGAATTTCTGCATCTTTGGGAAGAACATTCTTTTCGCAGAAACGCTAAGGGTAGTGTTTTCCAGATGTTCATTGACCTACCTACAGAGGCCTTGAGGACAAGATCTCGTATATGGCCACCTCTATGCGCATACATCCGTTGAACTGTTACTGTGGAGCCATGTACATTGGTCATTCAACGTGTATCCCTGTTTAAAAGGGTTCAAGGACACTATCCTACATGGTTGCAGATGGATAGAGTGATGATTCATTCCATTTCACCAAGCCCATCCTACAAAGCGAAATATAACCTGCCAAAAAGATAACGTGCTTTCGTCTCCTGTTTATTGTTGAAGCCTTAACCATTCAGTTGGAAAAACGAGAGCTATGTACGCAAAGGAAGATTATTCAGTCACTTCTGCTATCAATGGTAACACTTCAGAATCTTAAAATTATAAAATATAATATTTGTTATAATTAAAAATAATGACCAGTTATGCGGCGGTTACATCTTATGTAGAATATAACAGATTAGTTACAAAGAGGATAAAGTAAATAGTATTTGTGTGAAAATTGTGCTAAGCTGAATTCAGATGAAAAAAATTGCGACATGAGAGACAATCAATATGGTGATTAGTCATCATAGATTCATACAATGTGAAGGAAAATCGACAGGCTATAAAACGTGTCAGATGAGTAACTAGTACAGAGGTGGTATGCATTAAAGAAGAGATAGTAAGACTACAATCAATATGTCATCATGAAATGAACAATATGTTAAATGAACCAGGTGAAGGCATATTTTGAGAAAAGAGATAATATCACTAATAATAAGTGCGCGTAGTATAAATGGAAAAACCGATAGTATTGAAAGAATGCTAGAATAAAGGGTATAAATTATAATTATTATTATTATAAGCAAAGCAGGGAGGAATAAAGAGGCACTCTTGCAGTGAAATTCGAATCCAAGTTTGGCCGCGGCAGGAATAGAGCTCAAACATGGTTCCGGTCTAGTCAAGCTTATTGCAACACCTTCAGCCAAATGTAGAAGTAGACGAACAGTGGCATATATAACCCTGAAGGCTATGTCGGGGTAGATGTTCTATGATGTCCTTTATCGACAGAGTGCGATAGAATCGAACTTTTTATGCATTTGATTTCCCCACCTACTGAACCAAGCTGGTAAGTGTTCTCGAACCTGCCTACACCTTATATAACTTGAACCATTGGAACACCTGAAACCGTATATGGATGTGGAAAAGCTAAGTTTAGGTAAGACGTCTTTCTCTTTCTGAGTGAACATTGTACGGCTACTGAAGGTTAGAAACAGACGTGAAGAGTAGAAAGTCTTTTTTTGTCGCTCTAGTTAGACTTTGGGATAGAATCTCTGCGGGAGTATCTCCTGGCCATTATTATAACTATGGAAAATATTATATTCTATAACTGTAAAAACTTGAAGAGGATAATTTATTGAAAGAAATATTCTTCGTTCAGATTGACTTGGGGTCCTCGGGACGGTAAAAACCAATGGTTGGAAACAATTGGTGACATGGCTCAAAATCGTTCTCAATGGCTGGTGCAGATGCATCCACTCCTTGTGACTTATGATTTCCAATGAAACTGTTTTGTTCTTTGTTATTACTCTTCCTTTCTCTCACACCTCTGCTTACTGTCCCTATTATGCATTTCTTGTACCTTCTTCTCTTGCTTTGTGTGCTACATGAAGTGTGACGACTTGAACTGCCGCACATATGTGCCAAGTTCTATGTCGAAAACAAACAGACAGACAGACTTTTACACGATGACAATGAGAATATTTCACATTATTCAAGTATTAGAGTTAGTCTCTGTTCATTAGTTTTAGAAAGCTGTAGCCTAAACAACTAGTAGTTTAGGTGTCGACTGCGTGTGTGTGACATACGAAACCTGTAGTGGACTAAACGACTAAGTTTGTTCATACGCGCAAACAAATACTAACATGTATGTATATCTGAGGTATTCATTCCACTTAAGTTGATATGCACAAAAATCGAGTTGTTTGAAAAACTATAATATTCCCAAAATACCCAAATTATAGACGTACAAAATGACAGCGATGAAATCGTCCTTTTCTTGAGTATGTAGATCGTCAACTACACTTCAGAGATGCCAACTGTCGTAGAGTATTTGCATAGGAAAGAAAGTAGATCGGAGTGAAGTATCTAAATGTGTGTTGATCGGTAAGAAGCAAAGTTGGTTGGCGGATGTGATAAGTGAGAAGCTGGAGAGAGAGGGAAGCTTCGTCCGTATTGCACGCGGTACCAAGGGTTTGTCCTTGTTCAATCTCACGTAATAACCACGATTTTCTCTGAATTCCTTATTTTTTTTTACTATTTTTCAGTTAACATATAATTTGATATGTTTTTCGGCCACCACAAATCGACTCAATCTTTACTCTGCATAACACACTGATATCTGAGTCAGGCACGTTATACATCATTAAAAGATGGACTAACATTATACTGTGAAAGAAGTTTGGATTCATTGTCGATAATTAAATCGTGCGTCAATCAATAAATTCTCTCCTACGAAATCTTTAGTAGGACAAAATGAAATCTTATTTTTGTTGGCTTTATATGATAACGTCTGCATGATAATCTTTCATATTAGTCATTTATTAGGTCATTTCACACCAATGTCACAATGTAATTAGATCATTCTTATTACATTCAACCGATTAGTCACAAGAAGGTTTATCCACTTTACTACAGTATCCGTAAGAAATAATAAATACTACTAACCCCCACCATAGAGACGAGAGTAGGTACAAAATGTATTATTTGAAACGCAGATACTGAATGAATTTCACGTTGATATGGTGGACAAAAACTTAACAATTGAAATTAATTCAAATTCTCCCACAAATCCTATAGTCTGAATATCAATTTAGAGCTTATTGACAGCCCCTGGATGGACTATCTCAACCTGAAGTAGGATGTCTTGATCACTAGGGTCCCACTATGTCAAGGTGAAGTGGATACTCATCGAAGGTACTAGTGGGGGCAGCGCTATATCACAAGCTGACAAAGTTAGAATCTAGAAGTCGTTGAATTCCAACCTAAGTGGCTAGAAATGGTCAACGAACTTTGTCTCGTAGCATGAAGACCCCGGGTTCGATTCTTCACTGGGTTGTAGGTGCGGATCGCTGAAGAATCCCAAAGCAGGCAGGATGAAACAAGTGCTCTTACTGTTCCCTGGATTTCACTGGTATCTCCAACTGATGCTGGTTACTGACAAGAATCTAACAATTCCAGGATTTTATCATGAACTTATATCGGTTGGGACAATTGCACCGTTGGAAAACCTGGGGGCACTGGACAGCTGTTTCGTTAGCCTAGTTTGGGACTCTTCATTAGTACCCACCCGCTGAAGTTCGAACCCAAGAGCTTCTGGTTACAAGGTGAACTCGTAGACCGTTAAGTCACTGAGACCCGACCGAGTGGTCCATGAATTCCAACTTCTGCCAATTCATGATATGATGCGACCACTAGTGAATTTCATCGGTGAGCATTTGTCCTCACACCCCCGACCTGCTGTACCACACCGGTCACGACTTCCCACCAGAAGCCAGGTAACTACCTACCTACCTAGCATTTGACAATTGTGATACGAATTACTGAAGTTGACTTGAAGGCCTGTCATACAGCCTCTTGATATCTGTGTAGGGACGAGAGTTTATACATGCTTTTACGCATCCAAACACCACTTTTTTAAAAAAAAATTATTTACATATTATTTTTGCATTTTAAATTATATAGTGCGAAACAATATTCCTTCCATGTGGTCACGTATGCTGTTGCAAAAAGTGTTCTGAAAGTCTTTCTCTATGCCCATTATGCCGTTCTAACCTACGTCATCGAATCCAGTTGCATTTTTGAGTGATACAGATTGCAGATATGACATTGACTAGGAGAGTTAATAAACGCCGCAAAAGAAGATTCTGCTTCATTGTAGTGACGGATTATACAAACTTCTCCTTCAACGCGAAAATACTGAAAATACCTCAAGTTCCTAATCTTATTACCAAGAGAATATTGAACTTTTCTTTTTTTTCACTATAACTTTTCACTGATCTATTTAATTATGCATTATAACTTCACAATTAGATAATTTGTTATGTATAAATAAATAAATAAGTATATTTTGAAAAAGTATATAATGTCTATTGCGCGCTATTTATTTATACAAGAATAACAATATTGGGGGAGGGGGGAACATAGGAAATGATCAAGACCTATGATAGGCATCGAGTAGATCAGATTTTGGTTTTAAAACAGCCTTATCAGAAATGCTAACTAGCCAACCAGGTTCTAATCCATAGAATATTTGTCGTGGATCTTTTCGCATTGACATCAATTTTTGAGTGGATTCTGGTAGTGAATTCAAATCAAACGGATGATAACCGTATTTTTGTGCTAACCACAGTCGAGCCTCAGCTAGAGCTTCAGGATCTGCCAAGTAACCTCGAGACTCAGCACTTGTATAGTATGGAATTAACGCCTGTAACCACAAAAGAGAAGAAACCATTATATTTTAAATATTTCATAGATTTATTATTTTAAACAAAGTAAAAACAACAAATGTTTGTGCAGAATGTAATATGAGATCATTATTTGTTTTGTCATCGGGTTTTCTTTTTAGCTGCTTACAACTTAAAAGTTGATTATTCGTAAATGTACACAGAATTTTTTCATACTCGCGGCAATGATCAGCATGATTTTTGTTAATAGAGACACATGTGTTAATAAACCCTTCCCATGTGAACTATGATTGTGTATACAAATTTACGTGTATCTTCGGGAGCAGTTACATTGGGACAACAGATTCTCTGTAATGTACCGAGAAGTTAACATCTCAAAGGAACAAATGCTTTGAACCGTGTTATTGCCAGATATGTTGATACGGACAATGAGGTGGACAGTGTGAAATCCTTCAAGATTATTAATACACAATACGACTCAAACTTTCCGAAGCACATACTATCAAACGTTTGAAACCTGACTTATGTGTCAAGGAAGATTCACTTATTAGTCTTTCTTTGCCTTGGTGTCTCAACGTTCAATCTTTTCGACTCAATGGATCACATAATCCTTTGCTTTCATCCCACCCCTCTGACTTAAATTAAACTCCCCACACTATTACTCATCATCAACTTTTCTCTCTCCCCTTGTCTTAACTCTATGCAACTCAATTTTCAATGTATCCGATCATTAATTTTGTGTGTTTGTATTTTGCTTGAACTTTCACCTCATACCATGGTATGTGCGGCGAATCTGCGCGTTCGATCATCACCATCTACGCAGGATGATCGCGTGAATAATCCTGAGGTTCGGCGGCGTGTGTTTGAACACAGTGGAGATCACCATTTATTGAGTGTCGCCATCTGGAAACACCGGATCCGGTGGCTTGGATATGTGCTGCGAATGTCATCCCAGAGGCTTCCGTACAGGTCTCTGTTCGCTAGCCAGCCCTCTGACAAGATGGAAAAGGCGGAGGGGTGGACAGTTCATGTTGTGGCGTTGTGGAATGAAGGATATTTGTGTTAGATTAGTATCGGTCGGTGCGTCACGACTCCTTGGTTGGGGTCTGAGAGATAGCTCAAATCGATGGCTCGAAACGTTATCGGATATGACCGAGAATCGTAATCAATGGCGAACGTGTTGCAATTTCCTTCTTTCTTCCCTTCTCGATGATAGTTAACGAATACTGTTTGAACTTGTTCAGCATGACTGTTTTCCTTCCAAATGAAGTTCTTTATCCGTTCTCTACTTATATTTTTTTACTTTTGATCTATGTTGTTTTATTATTATTGTGTGGCGCATCTTTCTTGGTGCCATATTGTACCAAGTATTTTCTGCGTTTAAATAAATAAATGATCACTGCACCTCTGTCTCCAGCTCGGCCTCTCTATTTCAATCTCAATGTTATTGCGAAATATAAAAGTAGCTAAAATAAATGGTCACACTAGTGATATTAACACAAACTGGATATACACAAGTATTGAAAATGAAGAAACATTAAAAGGATAAAAATACAATAGAAATAGCGAGTATACACACACTCCGGTCTTCAAAGTATTTCATGTAATACTCTTCGACCTATGCCCTGAACTATGAGCAACACGCTTACTGTGTCCTAACTGATTACCATCTAACCATCAGTGAGAGTCAGATAAGGTTTGGGGCAATAATTAAAAGTCGACTGTATATACCGATAAACCACAATTCTATAAAATATCTAGTAATCTGCACAATTAATTACTATGTCTGTCTGTCTGTTTTCGACATAGAACTTTGCACAAATGTGCACCAGTTCAAGTCGCCACACTCCGTGTAGCACGCGAAGCAAGAGAAGAAAGTACAAAAGCATAATAGAAACAGTGAGCAGAGGGTGAGACAAAGGAGGATTAATAAAGAAAAACAAAACAGTTTCATTGGAGATCATAAGTCACAAGGAGTGGATGCATCTGTACCAGCCACTGAGAACGATTTTGAGCCATGTCACCAATTGTTTCCAACCATAGATTTTTACCGTCCCGAGGATCCCAGCCTGGAAGTCTACACCTTCCTACGTGGCTTAGACCAACTGTTGTGGATTTCATTGACTGGTGAAGCCAAGTTTTTGTTTGACCGCCGCTAGCTTTTTTCCAGCCTGACCCTATATCCGCTAACATTTCTCGTCGAGGGAGGCGATGGCTTGGCATACGTAGCACATGTCCTAACCATCTCAGTCTTTGTAACTTCACGACTTCGTCGATTGATTTCCCCTGTTTACCTAGAACTCTACGTCTAACTTCAATGTTGCTCACCTTATTGTGCCACTTCACACGGGTAATAGAGCGCAGGCACCTATGATCAAAGACAGCTAGTCTTTTCATGTCTTCCACTCTCAGTGGCCAGGTCTCGCTCACAACCATAAAGGAGGACGGAGCGGACTGATGAGCAGTACACCCGCCCTTTGGTCGATAGTCGAACATCTCGTCTACGCCGGCGTAAACTGGCAAATGTGAAACGAGCCCCCTGTATTCGTGCTGAGATTTCGTCAGAGATCAGCCCGTTGGGGCTGATGGTACTTCCCAAATAAGTGAAGCGGAATTAATTACTATAACATAAATTACAACATAGGAGCAGTACAAAAGATAATATTATGTACAAAACTACTTACATTAGGTGGCAATTTCGCCTTTGGTATGGGGATACCCTTCATGAAGAATCTCTGTGGGTCAGATTTAACCCAAACAGAATAAAGGTCATAAAAGCGAGTGCATATAACTCCTCCAACTCTTTCCACTGCCGCAATTACCTCTTCACTGGCATACTGTACCTCTATGTTAACGGGGGATACGAAATTGTCAATTCCCTATAATTATTGGAATAACTTATAGTTGGCGACTGACTACTCACTTCTTCAGTTAGGTGAAAACCACTCTGACGATCATGATCCACATTTAACCGATAGAGATTGGTATTACACAATGTGGAAATATCTATAGGTTCTGATGGATCGATTCGTTTAAGATCTATCAATCGCTGAAGCTCTAACAGAGATATTCGGTAGAGATTGGTTGTAGACCTGTATTTATGAGTAAAAAATAAATTAATTAAAACTGTACTTACATGCTTATCTTGTTATACGGTTCTTTCGGAACAGAAAGATAAAACGGTGTCTTCTCACCCAGTACACCAAGTGGCGGATATGCCTGGTGCTGAGACATGCCACGATGGCCAAGACCCATTTTCTTCCTATGCAAACCTTGATATTTCTATCAATGATAAATATAAAAAGCGGTCATAGTGTAACCTACCGGTGGTCTACTTCCGGGTAAGTCTGTGATATTCTTATGACAAACTCGAGGATATTTTCTTAACAAAGCTAACGCCTTATCGGTTGTTGGCATGATTTTTGTTAAAGCGTAGGTAGAGACTTTCTGTTTTTAACAGTGAACCATAAGATTTCAGACAACAATCTGGAAGGAGGGAAAAAGACAATAAAAGCAGTCGGTTATCAAAATTGTGTAGTACACGGTACGGAGAATATGAACCATGAGATTTATTTGTTCAATACATGGTTAATATAACCAACAACAAGGAATCTAAATCATCAGTAGTAATTCCATATAAGGAAGGAACCTTGGAAACCTTACGCAGAATTCTTAACAATGTAGAAATAAAAGTGGCTGACATTCAAAACAACCACAAACTCAATTAGAAAAAAGCTTTGTCGGTTAAATGATCAATCTGTGGAGCCTATAAAACAAAACAATTTAGTTTATCTAATACGCTGACTGCAATGATTGTCAGGTCAAATACATAGGCCAAAGTAATGGAACAGATGCAGTCAGACTAGTTGAGCATAAAAACCTAGCAAATTTACATTAGTTGACCTGAATAATATAATAAATCTAGAGAATAGTTCAGCTATACCACTCACTACATGCGATCACACACAACCAGACAATAGGATGGGATTAGATGAGTTTTAAAATCTAACGTTTGTTTATCGAATCAACTACAAATGCATGCAATAGGAATGATTCAACACCTGTCACAGATATCTGGAAAATTTTACTACCCCAACGACGATAAATGGAAGAGAACAAAGAAAACTATAAAACTCAAGTTTCAAAGTCGTGTAATTATAATTGATGAAATGATTATGAATAATCAATTTTGTTCGAAACTCTGTCATCCAGTAAATAATACTGTTTCACATCTAATAGACAAACTAATATGGAAGTAACCTTAGTGTCAATGAGAGTACGAAAGACAGCAACCAGGAAACAGAAGAATTAAACGAAGGTGACTGAAACCTTCAGGATCTCGTTAATGACAAGTAGATAAACTTCAGTCACCGATAATATCCAGTTACCGACTCCTAACAACTCAAATATGGCGACCAGTTAGTCTACACTTCCCACTAACAATCAATGACTTTATAGATCATTGCCATAGTGTCATATAGGTTGCACAAATATTCATTACTTTTATTCCTTAATGGTTGAAGTCACTTCAGACCATAAGAATATCTTGCTATGTACCGCAGTGCCGACTGCAATGCAGACGACTTCCTAATAAAGAAGCTAGCCCCCTGAATATTGAAATGTCGAAGTTTCGTAGTCGGTGACTTCAACCCCTAACAGTTAACTGAACATGCCTTACAACGCCATCTTCAGAAAACTCCTTTGACTATAAACTGCTGGAATCTAGCATTTCGAGAAAGGGTTCAAATGAAGGCAATATGTATGTTTCTTGGCATGACTAATTTATCATACGAGGAAAGACTCCCCAGTTTAAATCTCTTCTCCTTATCATACCGTAGGCGAAGAGATTTAATCACAATGTTTAAAATTTTAAATAATGACTATGGACCTGATTTATTCTCTTTTTTCCTTCCCAGCAGGATAGAACACCTCTAGGGACAGCAGAGGAGTTCAGAAGACAATGAGAAATGATATTTCTGTCGGGTGCTGGTCTTCGCACAGAGCCATAAACTCCTGGTACAATCATTCTCAAAAGAAGTAGTGTCAGAGACCTCAAATGACTCATCCAAGAAAGGTTTGGACAAGCACAGAAATTTTCTAGAGAAGGATTAACATAGGCTTCAAGCGTTTTCTCGTCAATCAACAAATCTGAATTTAAATGCATGTAGTGCTTAATGATAAAATCCTGCACAACCCTAAGCCTAACTTCATTCTGAATCCAATTTAAACCCTAGCAATCGAAGGTAGAAAAAGCATAGGGTCCTGGGACTTGATTCATCCGAATTCGAGTCCGAATCCAATAGCATAAGTTGGTTATAGGCAGGCACGACGTATATTTCCTCATATAAATGCATGTAGATAATAACGGATAATGGTTTGATTAAAATAACAGGGAAAACACCAAAATTGGCAGGGAGTTTCTAGAAGCCTAGTACTCAAATGAACCAGCAATTAACAAATACACTACTATAGACCGAATCTACAAACTTATAAAAAATAAATCACTAGTTCTAATTTCAAGTCAATACAAATGACTGACAAGTATGTAAATTAACAACCAACCACGACAATGGTTACCAGGAGATATAATTATATCACCCATGGAGGTTAGAGAATTCAGATAAGTTCCTTTCATAATAAAACCTGAGCTGAAGATGTCTAGAAGGACAGTGAAACCTCACTTAAATCAAACAGCTTATAGAACGCAATTAAATCAAAATAATCCACCTTAGCTACATATTTTCTCCATTGGCTCCCCCGTGTTGTCACTTTCTGCATTGCAATTCAAGTTTGCTTCAGCGTTTCCGCAGTTCGCTTTAAGTCTGTCTGAGAGTTTCTGTAGTGCAGCCTGAGTCTGTCTGTACATTCCAAAAGGTCGCACTACCTCATATCACCTAACAAGAATTGGTTAACCACATCAGCACCAAACCTCGCCCAGTTAACTAGCTCGCTAGTTTTCTAGCCGATCCCAAGCCCGAGTAAAGAGAGGGTTGGGTGTGTGGCTAGCAAACCCACACCACTAGATTTTTCAAACCGCTAGAGAAACTTCAAAACACAGAAAATATATTAAAAATACAAAAACTTCAAATAAAACTTTATTATTCACTCGAACTAGAGAGGCGAAATGACGCGGGCTGGTGAAAGCCTTCGCGAAGCCAGTCAGCCGACGTGTCTTCTCTCGATAAAGGCAAGAGTAGGAATGAGTACGAGGGATGTCCGTACAATGTACGAGACTGGGAAAGCTGCCCAGGTAGCCAAAGAGATGCGAAGATATGTCTTAGAAGTACTGGGTGTCTGCGAAAGCAGATGGAATGGATTGACCACATTCTCAACAGGGAGAGTCAATAATCTACTCCGGTCACCCAGACGACAACCACAAACACACTGAGGGAGTGAGAGGCCATCATGATGTTACCAGTGACAGCCAAAGCCCCAATGCAGTGGGAACCAATTTCATCCAAGATCATGACAGCAAAATTTGACTCCAAAGGAAGGAAGGTAACAATTATCCAACGTTACTCACAGTGCTACAGACAACGCGGAACAAGAAGAGAAGGAGGATTTTTATAGACAACTACAAACAGTAATAGGCAACATCTCAAACGGTGACATCACAATCCTTATGGGCAATATGAATGCAGGCCAAACTGGGAACATATCATGAAAAGAACTCATCATGGGTCAGCAGGCTTTCGGAGAAATGAATAAGAACGGAGAATTATTCGCAGACTTCTGCTCTTTCAACGATTTGGTGGTCGGGATCCCGACCGAAAGCTGCTACCTTGACGTGGTGGTCGGGCTTGAACACCGCAATGACCTAATCAAGCTATACTGGCTGACACTTATGTCTCTTGAGGTTCTACCATGCCAGACAGGTTGTTTGGATAGCGGTTAAACAAAAAGCAGCTACCCAATCCAATACCATGATTCAAACAAATTCACAAAATTTCATGCCGGATCGGCCGTGGCCCGGATTAACAACGACCGCGCTTCCTGCTGCCGTGTCACAGGGCAGGAGTGATAAATATGCTACTGAGGCACACCAAACAAAAGAGAATGAACAAAATCAGGCCGCGTGTGACCGGCCTCAAGCAGTTGTCCCCTGGGCTCTGCGGTCACGCAACCAACTTCCACGGTGTGGGCAGCCGGGAAGTAACAATCGCCCTCACAATCCGGAATGCACACAAAACCTCTCTAATCCTCACTTATCTTTGTCTTCATCTTCATCTCTATTACCTTGCCTTCCTCCCACTGATGCAACTCCTCTACTTGATGGCTCCTCACTCCCTCTTCACTCTGTGTCCACTAAAAACGATGGAAGCCAAAAAACCACCACCGATAGTCTCCTAAAGCCACGCCATCAATTTCATATCGGAGCATTTAATGTTAGGACACTGTGCCAAATAGGACAACAAGCATCACTAGCTAAGACCCTGGCATCCCGAGCCATTGATGTATGTTGTGTTTCAGAAACACGCATACAAGACCCAAGTGTGGTTATTCACCTAACCCCACCTGGCCAACAGGTTGAATCTTCAAAATTCACCTTGAGGGTGTCAGGAGATGCCACAGCTAGTTCACGAGGATTAGCTGGCGTAGGGATAGCTTTGAGTACTAGGGCAGAAAAGACATTGCTTGACTGGATCCCGGTAGATAGCCGAATGTGTGCTGTCCGTCTGAACGGATCAGTAAGAAGGAGGAAGGACTGCACTACTCGCCTATGCCTTTTCGTAATCTCCGCCTACGCCCCCACTGACTGCAGTTCGGATGAAACGAAGGATGAGTTCTACCAAAAGCTGTCTAGTTTGGTGAGAAAGGCTAAACGCTCAGATATAGTCGTTCTAGCTGGTGACTTTAACGCTCAAGTAGGGAAATTGTGTCAATCTGAGAAGGATGTCGGTGGCACCTATGGAGTTCCGTGCCAGCGAACCGACAACGGTGACCGTCTCCTACAGTTCTGTTCAGATAATCATTTGTTTCTTGTAAGCACTAACTTTAAACACAAGGAGAGACACTGTTTAACCTGGCGACCCCCATCATCAAACCAACGCTGGACACAAATAGACCACATAGCAATAAGCTATCGTTGGCGTGGGTCGGTAGGAGATTGTCGCTCCTTCTGGAACACGTGTGTAGATACCGATCACGCACTGGTCCGGGCTCGTGTGTGCTTACGACTGAACGGACGTAGGAAACAGCTGGCGGTAAAACCATCACGTCCCCAGCTCGATCAGGAAACTAAATCCCTATTTGAGGAAGAACTAGCTAAACGCATATCTGAATTCGACAGCTGTGCTCACCCTGGAGAAGCCTGGAAGAATATTCAGTCAGCTATAGATACAGCTGTAAAAGCTGTGAATAAGGCAAATCCAAAGGTGAGTAAAAACCACTGGATTTCGACTGCCTCATCCGAACTG